TCCCTGTAAAAAAAGGTTTCAGTTTTGTTGCCAGAAAAAAGGGGAGAAATCCTATTATTAAACTTTGCTTATTTTACCAGGTCTAAGGCCCACTGGGAAGCTACATACGTAGCTGCTTTTCAGACAAGCGACCCATAGAGAATAGAGACCCATAGAGATACACAGAGACACATCGAGGTGGCTTGAGATACATCGAGACGCATAGGGACACAGAGACCCATCGAGACCCATAGCTGAGACGAGGGCTGAACGATTAATCGATTTCAAATCGAAATCGCAATTTGAAGCAATGCGATTAGTACATCGCAAAGGCTGCGATCTTTTTTGCGATTTGAAAAGTCCTATGACTTCCTTATTGGGATTGTTTTATTTTTTATTATTATAACTTTACTTATTTAACTTAACAGATGTCCTATTAATACATTTTAATAAATACATGTTGGAAGTAATTAATATATTTTAAGTTCTCATCCTTGCATTCGAATACATAGAACAGTTCATAGTTTGATGGTATCACGTGGTAATGCTCCATCACGTGTTTTAAACCTATTACACAGTAAATATTGAACGGTAAATATTGACTTAAGACATTTTAATCGCAAATCAAATCGCAATCGCAATATCTGTCAGAAAAATCGCAATGAGCTATTTTCTCCCAAATCGTTCATGCCCTAGCTTAGACTAAACGATGTCTATTTTACCAGGTCTAAGGGCCCACCGGGTGACCTGGCTATCATCACAAATGATAGCGGCTTCAACGAAGTGTGGCGGCTCATCATCAATCATCAATCGTAGTCGTCGTGGTTGTGGAAATGTCAAGGAGCGGCGCAGATAACTCCGAACGAGCGACACGCTCGTTCTAAATGTGTGTGTGGGGGGGGGGGGCGGGGGAGGGGGGTGGGGAACAAACGAAACGACATGGAGATACCAAAAAATCAACGCGACCGTGGGGGGGGAGAGACAGAGAAACGCAGATTCCAAATCTACAGCAGCAGGCGACAGGTTTGGGATCGAACCCACGACCTCCTGCGTACCAGGCGAGGTAGTTAACATCTCCTAGCCACCGTGATGATGATGATGAGAGAGACGCAGACTCCAAATATACAGCAGCAGGCGTCAGGTTTGGGATCGAACCCACGACCTCCTTTACACCAGGCGAGATAGTTAACATCTCCTAGCCACCGTGATGATGATGATGAGAGAGAATCAGCCTCCAAATCTACAGCAGGCGTCGTCAGGGTCGGTATCGAACCCACGACCTCCTGTGTACCAGGCGAGGTAGTTAACATCTCCTAGCCACCGCGATGATGATGAGAGAGACACGCAAACTCCACGACCTCCTGTATACCAGGCGAGGTAGTTAACATCTCGCTACCCGGAGCCGTTGTGGCAAGGGTTGGTGTATCGCGCGTTGAACGCTTTAACTCGGGCACATTCTAATCCCCTAAAAATCTATTCCGAATTCTCGATTTTAAAAAATATATATAAGAATCGTGTTTTACCCTTCTCGGGCAATGAAGCAGGAGTTGTGTTAAGATGTTCAAACACCAAATAGATTGTAGCTTTTGCATAAGGATCAGGTCATCGCATTAAGCACCCACGGTGCTTGTGGTGAACGTGCAAACAAACATGGCTCTGATAATATATGGCATTGTCTTTAATAATAATTTAATAATAATGTTACATTTTCTTTGGTACTGATCGGTCTACACCAGAGGCAGCGGCAGCCTTCTCGATGGCCGAGTCTCACCACCACCAGCAGTGTCAGTAGACCAGAGAACGACGCCTACAGGCGGACAGCACAAAGGCAATGCCACGTGTATCAGAGCATCTCTAGCTCGAGGTTGAGCAGCAGCTATGCCATGGGATAACTTTTGACGTTGTTTTCTGGTCTGACACTGGCAGTGAGATGTATCTCTCTCACGCTCCCCCCCCCCCCCCCCCCCCCCCCCCCCTTACTACCCTTGTTGAAGTTAGCTGAGTTTGGTGGGGATTCGTAGCGTAGGTGCAACGCCACAGCAGCTGCCACTACCGCTGCCACCACCGCCACCGCTGCCACCACCGCCACCGCTACCACCGCTGCCACCACCACTGCCATCACCGCCACCACCACCGCCATCGCTACGACCACCACTGCTACCACCGCTGCCACCACCACCACTGCCACCGCCACCACCGCTGCCACCGCTACCACCGCTGCCACCACCGCCGCCACCACTCCACCCACGGTTAATGTCCGTGTGTGTTTGTCTCATCGTGAGTGAGTCCCATCGTGGCCATTGCATTGTTCATCGAGCCTCAGGCCCGTACTGAAATGTGCATGGCATTTGTACTCAAGTGAGATTCATCTTTTTCCGAAGACTGTGTCGGTGCTTGGGGTGGAACAGCGGCAAAATAAAAGACGCTGCAAATAACGTTCATGAAACGACACGAAACACCCCCCTCCACTCACTTCTCCCCTCCACTCCTTCCACTCCCTCCCTTCACTCCCTCCCTCCACTCCTTCTGCTCAATCCACTCGCTCCACTAATTCCACTCCCTCCTTCCCTCCCCTCCCATCCCCTCCACTCCCTCCCTCCCTCCACTCCACTCACTCCCCTCCCTCCCTCCCTCTCTCCACTCCACTCACTCCACTCCCTCCTTCCCCTCCCTCCCTCCCTCCCCTCCCTCCACTCCCTCCCTCTCTCCACTCACCATTGTTCTGGACGCGCAGATGATCGATGTGGATGATGATGATTGTGAAGGTGCTGATGCTGCGCCCGTTTTCCTTGTTGTCAATCTCCCTTCCTCCCATATCCCCACGCCCTTGCCGATCCCTAAACCCCGATCCCTAAACCCTGATTCCTAAACCCCCATCTCTAAACCCTGATCCCTAAACCCTGATCCCTAAACCCCCATCTCTAAACCCTGATCCCTAAACCCTGATCCCTAAACCCCCATCTTTAAACCCCAATCCCTAAACCCCGATCCCTAAACCCCATCTCTAAACCCCAATCCCGTAACCCCGATTCCTAAACCTTGATCCATGAACCCCCAATCCCTAAACTCCCGATCCCTAAACCCCCATCTCTAAACCCTGATCCCTATACCCCCATCTCTAAACCCTGATCCCTATACCCCCATCTCTAAACCCTGATCTCTAAACCCCAATCCCTAAACCCCGATCCCTAAACCCCCATCTCTAAACCCCGGTCTCTAAACCCTGATCTCTAAACTCTGATCCCTAAACCCCAATCCATGAACCCCAATCCCTAAACCCACATCCTTAAACCCCAATCCCTAAACCCCGATCCATGAACCCTAATCCCTAAACCCACATCCCTAAACCCCAATCCCTTAACCCTGATCCTTAAACCCTGATCCATGAACCCCAATCCCTAAACCCCTGATCCCTAAATCCCGAACCCCGATTCATAAACCCCCAATCCCTAAACCCCCAATCCCTAAACCCCAATCCCTAAACCCCTGATCCCTTAATCCCGAACCCTAAACCCTCATCCCTAAACCCCCATCTCTAAACCCCGATCCTTAAATCCCCATCTCTAAACCCCCATCTCTAAACCCCGATCCCTAAACCCCGATCTCTAAACCCCATCTCTAAACCCCGATCCCTAAACCCCATCTCTAAACCCCCATCTCTAAACCCCGATCCTTCAATACCCATCTCTAAACCCCGATCCCTAAACCCTGATCCCTAAACCCCGATCCCTAAACCCCATCTCTAAACTCCGATCTCTAAACCCTGATCCCTAAACCCCGATCCCTGAACCCTGATCCCTAAACCGCGATTCCTAAACCACGATTCCTAAACCCCGATCCCTAAACCCCGATCCCTAAACCCCAATCCCTAAACCCCGATCCCTAAAGCCCGACCCCCAAACCCCATCCCTGAACCCCATCTCTAAACCACAATCCCTAAACCCTGATCCCTAAATCCCGATCCCTAAACCCTGATCCCTAAACCCTGATCCCTAAACCCCGATCCCTAAACCCGATCCCTAAACCCCGATCCCTAAACCCTGAACCCTAAACCCCGATCCCTAACCGACCCATAAACCCATGTTCCCTAAAACCCGGTTACTAATCCCCCGATTCATAAACCCCCAACCCTTATACCCCGATTCCTAAACCCCGATGCAAAAACCCCCGACCCCTAAACCCCCGACCCCTAAATCCCCGACCCCTAAACCCCCGACCCCTAAACCCCCGACCCCTAAACCCTCAACCCCTAAACTCCCGATCCCTAAACCCCCGACCGCTAAACCCCGACCCCTAAACCCTCGACCCCTAAACCCCCGACCCCTAAACCCCCGACCCCTAAACCCTCGACCCCTAAACGCCCGATCCCTAAACCCCCGATACTCACGACCTCCCCGAATCCTCTCCCCGCCAAACCCCCGATCCCCCACTCCCAACCCCCCCTCCCCCCTCCCGGATGCCGACCCCAAACCCCACACCCCCCAAGCCTGATTCGAACCCTCACCCCCCTACAACCCCTCGTCTCGAATCCCACCAAAGTGCACGTGGCCCTAAAACCACCCCGTGACCCCCCCATGACCCCCGTGACCCCCGTGACCCCCCCCCCCCCAACCTAGCCACTCAAAACATCCCCGGCCACCCACGCTCCATGTCCTGACCCCGAACTCCTCGAACCTCTTAATCCTCAAACCCAAAACCATTCACCTCTGTTCCACGTCACCCACGCACCACGCCCCACGCACCACGCACCACGCCCCACGCACCACGCCCCACGCACGACCACGCCCCACGCACGACCACGTGCCATACACCCATAACTGCGATCACAAAATCCATTCACCGCGTCCCTCCCGTATTCGCTCTCGCGAACCTCCGCACCCACCCACAACTTCACCCACCAACAACTTAAACCACCCTCCCCCCGCCGCCCCCACCACCACCCCATCCAACCCTTGAACCCCCTTGAACCCCCCCTGAAACCCCTAAACCCCACCCTTGACCCCCCCCCCTCCCCTCAACAGCCGGACACCCTTTCGGACGAGCAGAGATCCGAGCCCAGCCCAACATCTCACCGCCATCACCAAACTCCGCCACTGGGATTCTACCACCACCACAACAACAACAACCACCACTACCACCACCACCACCATCAGCGGCACCACCAGGCTGCGGCGGGTCTGGCTCCTCTTCCGCCGCAGCAGCAGCAGCAGCAGCGGCACTGGGCCACGCAGCGGCTGGACGCTCTGCCGCTGCTGGCCCAGAAGCCGGCTGGCCAGCGGTCTGGCGAGCGGCAGGACGGCGACGGGCTGAGCTCCCCGGAGTCGCTCCCCCCGCGGCACCGCACGCACATCGACCCGCGCACGCTGGCCCACCCGCTGGCGCGCCCTGCCCTGCGGCACACCATCATCTAGGCGGCGGCGGCGGCGGCGGCGGCGGTCCGTCTTTGGATTCCCCCGGCGGCATCGGCATCGGCGGCGGCGGCGGCGGCGGTTTTCCGGCGTGGCCGGGCGTCGGGCCGGGACCGGTGTCCGCGTCCATCGCCGGCGGCGGCGTCGGCGACCCGCCGCACCGGGGACGCGTAGGGGGCGGTGGCGGCGGGGGGGGGGCCGGCGGGGCCGCCCGTCGGTCACTCCTCGCACGGCCACTCGCACGGCAAGCGCTGGCCCACGCGCTAGCCGGCGCCGGCGGCTGCGGCAGCGTGGGCCAGCGTGTGGCTGAGTGGATGGGTTTGGCGCTGTAGCCCTAGCCCCCCCCCCCCCCCCACTTCCCCACCACCATGGCTGACCGCCAGCCCTGCCCGTCGCTAGCCCCACTGCTCTAACCCCAAACCTAACACAACCTGACCCCTACCCACCTGCTGGTAGACATCCACTAGCGCGTGAGTGCTTTAGTCCCTCTGGCTGACCGCTTAGACGCACGTGGGCTGACCGCCAGGCCTGCTCGTCTATTCGTTAGACCCACTGCTCTTACCCCAAATCCAACCTGAGCCCTACTCACCTGCTGGTAGACATCCACGAGTGTGTGAGTGCTTTAGTCCCTCTGGCTGCCTGTTCAGATGCACGTGGGTTGACCGTTTAGACGCACGTGGGCTGACCACTTAGGCACACATGGCCTGACTGATTAAACTCACGTGGGCTGACCGCTTAGACGCACGTGGGCTGACCGATTAAACTCACATGGGCTGACCGCTTAGACGCACGTGGGCTGACCGATTAAACTCACGTGGGCTGACAGATTAAACTAATGCGGGCTGACCACTTAGACGCACGTGGGTTGACCGATTAGATCCACACGGGTTGACTGCTTAAACGCACGTGGGCTGACTGCTTAGACGATCCCCTGATAGGGATTCACTCGGGCACGGGGGGGAGGTGAGGGGCTGGCTAACCCGCATGCGATTTATTCCGGGGAACCGCGACCGTCTCTCGTGTACACGAGCAGCGTTGGGGGGGGGGGGGGGGACTCTTGAAAACGGTCGCATCGCAAGGGGTTGGGGTATTTTTTGAAAAAAAAGTTGCAGTTGCCGAATTTGTGGCTTTTTATTTTAATAGACAGTCGTTATTGTGGTATTGCCGGGTGCGTTTCTTGCAGCAGCACACCAGCCGCGTGTTGGCTGGCACCTTAGCCCCATCTCGGGGGCTGACCGCTTAGACACAATGTGGACCGACAACCACGAGCCCACCGCTCTTACCTACGAAATCAACCCCCACCCCCCAACCCCCCTAGCCTAACCCCACCTGTGACACCATGCGCAAGTTTTGCTCCCCACCACTAGTTAGACCACGCTGGCCCACACCCTGGCCAGTCTGTGGGAGGACTAGTAGCACCCCCCGGCTGGGTTAGGACTAGTAGCACCCCATGGCTGGGTTAGGACTAGTAGCACCCCTCGGCTGGGTGAGGACTAGTAGCACCCCCTGGCTGGGTTAGGACTAATAGCACCTCGCGGCTGGGTTAGGACTAGTAGCACCCCCCCGCTGGGTTAGGACTAGTAGCACCCCCCGGCTGGGTTAGGACTAGTAGCACCTCACGGCTGGGTTAGGACTAGTAGCACACCCCAGCTGGGTTAGGACTAGTAGCACGTCACGGCTGGGTTAGGACTAGTAGCACCCCACGGCTGGTTTAAGACTAGTAGCACCCCCTGGCTTGGTTAGGACTAGTAGCACCCCACGGCTGGGTTAGGACTAGTAGCACGTCACGGCTGGGTTAGGACTAGTAGCACGTCACGGCTGGGTTAGGACTAGTAGCACCTCGTGGCTGGGTTAGGACTAGTAGCACCCCCTGGCTGGTTTAGGACTAGTAGCACCTCGCGGCTGGGTTAGGACTAGTAGCACCCCATGGCTGAGTTAGGACTAGTAGCACCCCACGGCTGGGTTAGGACTAGTAGCACCTCGCGACTGGGTTAGGACTAGTAGCACCCCCCGGCTGGGTGAGGACTAGTAGCACCCCACGGCTGGGTGAGGACTAGTAGCACCCCACGGCTGGGTTAGGACTAGTAGCACCCCCTGGCTGGGTGAGGACTAGTAGCACCCCATGGCTGGGTTAGGACTAGTAGCACCCCACGGCTGGGTTAGGACTAGTAGCACCCCCCGGCTGGGTGAGGACTAGTAGCACCCCATGGCTGGGTTAGGACTAGTAGCACCCCCCGGCTGGGTGAGGACTAGTAGCACCCCACGGCTGGGTTAGGACTAGTAGCACCCCATGGCTGGGTGAGGACTAGTAGCACCCCATGGCTGAGTTAGGACTAGTAGCACCCCACGGCTGGGTGAGGACTAGTAGCACCCCCTGGCTGGGTTAGGACTAGTAGCACCCCCCGGCTGGGTGAGGACTAGTAGCACCCCCTGGCTGGGTTAGGACTAGTGGCACCCCCTGGCTGGGTTAGGACTAGTAGCACCTGGTGGCTGGGTTAGGACTAGTAGCACCCCCCGGCTGGGTTAGGACTAGTAGCAACTCACGGCTGGGTTAGGACTAGTAGCACCCCCCGGCTGGGTGAGGACTAGTAGCACCCCCCGGCTGGGTTAGGACTAGTAGCACCTCGCGGCTGGGTTAGGACTAGTAGCATCCCCTGGCTGGGTTAGGACTAGTAGCACCTCGCGGCTGGGTTAGGACTAGTAGCACCCCACGGCTGGGTTAGGACTAGTAGCACCCCCTGGCTGGGTTAGGACTAGTAGCACCTCGCGACTGGGTTAGGACTAGTAGCACCTTGCGGCTGGGTTAGGACTAGTAGCACCCCCTGGCTGGGTTAGGACTAGTAGCACCTCGCGACTGGGTTAGGACTAGTAGCACCTTGCGGCTGGGTTAGGACTAGTAGCACCCCCTGGCTGGGTTAGGACTAGTAGCACCCCCCGGCTGGGTGAGGACTAGTAGCACCCCACGGCTGGGTTAGGACTAGTAGCACCCCCTGGCTGGGTTAGGACTAGTAGCACCCCATGGCTGGGTTAGGACTAGTAGCACCCCATGGCTGGGTTAGGACTAGTAGCACCCCACGGCTGGGTGAGGACTAGTAGCACCTCACGGCTGGGTTAGGACTAGTAGCACCCCCCGGCTGGGTGAGGACTAGTAGCACCCCCCGGCTGGGTTAGGACTAGTAGCACCTCGCGGCTGGGTTAGGACTAGTAGCACCCCATGGCTGGGTTAGGACTAGTAGCACCCCCCGGCTGGGTGAGGACTAGTAGCACCCCATGGCTGGGTTAGGACTAGTAGCACCCCCTGGCTGGGTGAGGACTAGTAGCACCCCCTGGCTGGGTGAGGACTAGTAGCACCCCCCGGCTGGGTGAGGACTAGTAGCACCCCCCGGCTGGGTTAGGACTAGTAGCACCTCGCGGCTGGGTTAGGACTAGTAGCACCTCACGGCTGGGTTAGGACTAGTAGCACCCCCCGGCTGGGTGAGGACTAGTAGCACCCCCCGGCTGGGTGAGGACTAGTAGCACCCCCCGGCTGGGTTAGGACTAGTAGCACCTCGCGGCTGGGTTAGGACTAGTAGCACCCCACGGCTGGGTTAGGACTAGTAGCACCCCCCGGCTGGGTGAGGACTAGTAGCACCCCCCGGCTGGGTTAGGACTAGTAGCACCTCGCGGCTGGGTTAGGACTAGTAGCATCCCGCGACTGGGTTAGGACTAGTAGCACCTTGCGGCTGGGTTAGGACTAGTAGCACCCCCCGACTGGGTTAGGACTAGTAGCACCCCCTGGCTGGTTTAGGACTAGTAGCACCTCGCGGCTGGGATAGGACTAGTAGCACCTCGTGGCTGGGTTAGGACTAGTAGCACCTCGTGGCTGGGATAGGACTAGTAGCACCTCGCGGCTGGGTTAGGACTAGTAGCACCTCGCGGCTGGGTTAGGACTAGTAGCACCCCACGGCTGGGTTAGGACTAGTAGCACCCCCTGGCTGGGTTAGGACTAGTAGCACCCCCTGGCTGGGTTAGGACTAGTAGCACCCCCTGGCTGGGTTAGGACTAGTGGCACCCCCTGGCTGGGTTAGGACTAGTGGCACCCCCTGGCTGGGTTACCCAGCCCAGCCCACCCACACGCCCGCCCACCCGTCCCAGTTGCGCACACACGCGCACGATGTTCTAACGTTTTAACACCTCCTGTTTTATTGCCAGAAAGGGTAAAACCTCTTCTAATATTTTGATACTGGTAAGGGAGGTCCAATGTTGTAGCCGCTCAACCTCGAGCTATGAATGCCCTGATAGTGGCATTGTCTTTGTGCTGTTCGTATGTTGGTGCCCTCTGGTCTAACGCTGTTTGAGACGAGGCTCTAAAGAAAGCCGTCTCTGGTGTGGACCAATCAGTTTCAAAGACAACGCGTGATATATTGTCAGAGCGCGTGTTTTTTTGTTCGCATATTCACCACAAGTAACGTGTGTGCTTATTTATTGCAGACAGGATCCCTCGCAAAAGGTTTCTGTTTTGGTGCTTTTACATCTCAGCACAGCTGTCTTATTGCCGGAAAGGGTAAAACCTATTCTTATATATGATGGATGTTTAGTTTTTTATTTTCTGGTCTCGCGGATAACCGCGTGAATATCGGGGGGGTGGGGGGAGTGGGGTGATGGAGTTGTTTTTAATTTTAGATTTGTTGTTGTTGGTGCTGCTGCTGCTGCAGTTAATCATAATTGCGCTGACGATAACAGTTCGCTCCATATGGACTCCTCTACTTACGAACGCTCGACTTGCGAACTTTCAGAGATATGAACGAAACCTGTCCCCCCCCCCTCCACCGTACGTCCAGTTTGCCTGTTCGGAACCGATAGTTCGTAAGTTCAACCGCCCTGCGCAATCGATGGCGGCGGTGGCGGCATCTTACATCTGCAGAACGTGAAGAACCAGTGGCCTCCACTATGGTTCGTTCATGGGTGGGTCAGTGGGAAGGTGAGTGGGTGTGTGTGGGTGTGTAGGTAGGTGAGTGGGTCGGTGGGAAGGTGAGTGGGTGGATGTATAGGTAGGTGAGTGGGTCGGTGAGTTGGTCGGTGGGAAGGTGAGTGGGTGGGTGGATCAGTGGGAAGATGAGTGGGTGGATGTGTAGGTAGGTGAGCGGGTCGGTGAGTGGGTCGGTGGGAAGGTGAGTGGGTGGCTGGGTCGGTGGGAAGGTGAGTGGGTGGGTGGATCAGTGGGAAGGTGAGTGGGTGGATGTGTAGGTAGGTGAGTGGGTCGGTGGGAAGGTGAGTGGGTGGGTGGATCACTGAGAAGGTGATTGGGTAGGTGGGAAGTTGAGTGGGTGGATGTGTAGGTAGGTGAGTGTGTCGGTGAGTGGGTCGGTGGGAAGGTGAGTGGGTGGGTGGGTCGGTGGGAAGGTGAGTGGGTGGGTGGGTTGGTGGGAAGGTGAGTGGGTGGGTGGATCAGTGGGAAGGTGAGTGGGTGGATGTGTAGGTAGGTGAGTGGGTCGGTGGGAAGGTGAGTGGGTGGGTGGATCACTGAGAAGGTGATTGGGTAGGTGGGAAGTTGAGTGGGTGGATGTGTAGGTAGGTGAGTGTGACGGTGAGTGGGTCGGTGGGAAGGTGAGTGGGTGGGTGGGTCGGTGGGAAGGTGAGTGGGTGGGTGGGTTGGTGGGAAGGTGAGTGGGTGGGTGGGTTGGTGGGAAGGTGATTAGGTGGGTACGTTGGTATGTGTAGTTAGTGAGTAGGTGGGGAGCGGTAGTGTAGTAGTGGTTAGCGCTACGCTGCACTACGAACCCGGCGAGCCGAGTTCGATTCCCGCTCACAGCCAACACCACCGGTGACTGTCATCCGAAGCGGTCCTGGGCCTTCCCTAAGGTCGACTCGGCCTCAAATGAGTACCTGGTGCGGTGTGTGTAGTAAACATCGTCACTGGGGAGACAAAGGCGGCCGGGCGTGGCGGTGCTGGCCACCCACCCCCTCGTGTGCCACAGTGCCGGTAGCCTTCATAGGGTACTGCTCCTCGCTCACAGCACTTGCTCCAACAGTTTGTTGCGGGCTACACGGGGGACCTTTGCCCTTTGAGTAGGTGAGTAGGTAGCAGGGCTGTAGCGACAGCATCTCTCGCAAATTCGATGCGATGTTAAAAATCTGACGGCGGACACCCCACCACCATCGTGGACATATATCAGCTGCTGGTCTGTGGTAATCACTGTAACGGTGTTTAGATATTTGTATATTCTCGTGTGTGTGTGGGGGGTGATTTTGGGTCTCCCTTGTGCGCTGTATCGTTGTTTTGGCTGTAAAAGTTGCTGTGAGAATAAAAAAAAGAGTCGCTCCGATCATCGTCCGGTCACAGTTTACCCTGCACGGTTAATCGGTTCTAAAGACATCATCATTGTTATTGTCAGCAGCAGCGTCGTCATCGTCATCATCATCAAAGCAGTGTCTGTGTGCATTGCTCTTGTACTGCTCGGTTTTTGGTGTCGTTTGCTGGTCTAACACCGGTGGTGAGACAAAGCCACAGAGGAGGAGGCTGTGTGTAGCTCTGGTGGAAGCCAATCAGTTTCACATACAATGCACGTGACGTTATACAACATATCAAGAGCATCTTTGTTTGCACGCTTTGCTACAAGTGCAGTGCGGTGTACATTTGACGGAGAACTTCTATGCGAGGCCTACACGACTTTTATTTGGCTTTTCTGCAAGGTCCCTTACACAAAGGCCATGGGGCGGCCCCATTGCCCGATACTTGGGGAGGTACGGCCTCTGGACTGCACGGGCCCTATGCACTGGGGACCCCCGTTAACCTTCCGTCCTGCAGCTGGGGCCCTAGGGGAGGCTACGCTGAGCCGACCGCACCGGTCCTGGCCCTTAGAAGGACGGCGGAGCTTTGGGGTCCAGGGTCCTAGCTGCAGCACAGGTCTTCGGATTGGAGACGACTGAGCCGGACCCCTCGAGAGGACCGGCCTTATATACCGGTTCGTGGCTTGCTCCGCCCTAGCCACGCCTTCCTTCCAGAACATTCTGTAAGGATGACATCACCCCTCCGGTCTCCCCCGGGGAATGTGTCCCAGGATCCGTTTACCGGGGATTGTCGTTGGGCCCCTTCTGGTCACATGGGCATGAACACTGGGGCGATAGCGCTTCCGTCCCTCTGTGGACGAGAAGGGGGAGCTAACAGTGTGGAGAGTGCCGATTATTAACACCCTTGCACAAGTATGACGGTTGTGGATGATGCAGCATTGACGATGCCTTGCTAAGAGGCGCGTGTCTCGTACGAGAAGCGTTGGAATGTCTCAACGCAGCTCCTCGCGGCATCATTGCCGGAAAAAGTGTACAAAGCGTCTTTCCCAATCCCATCGTTTTGATGGATAAAAAGTGGGCGAGCGAGTGGGTGACTGAGTGAGTGAGCGAAAGACTGAGTGAGTGGGTGACTGAGTGGGTGGGTGACTGAGTGGGTGGGTGACTGAGTGGGTGACTGAGTGAGTGGGTGACTGAGTAAGTGTGCGAAAGACTGAGTGGGTGACTGAGTGAGTGGGTGACTGAGCGAGTGGCTGACTGAGTGGGTGGGTGACTGAGTGGGTGACTGAGTGAGCGAGTGGGTGACTGAGTGAGTGAGCGAAAGACTGAGTGAGTGGGTGACTGAGTGGGTGGGTGACTGAGTGAGTGGCTGACTGAGCGAGTGGGTGACTGAGCGAGTGGGTGACTGAGCGAGTGGGTGACTGAGCGAGTGGGTGACTGAGTGGCTGACTGAGGGAGTGGGTGACTGAGCGAGTGGCTGACTGAACGAGTGGGCGACTGAGCGAGTGGGTGACTGAGCGAGTGGCTGACTGAGCGAGTGGCTGACTGAGGGTGACTGAGCGAGTGGCTGACTGAGCGAGTGGCTGACTGAGCGAGTGGCTGACTGAGCGAGCAAGTGAGCAAGCGACTGAGCGAGCGGGTGACTGAACGAGCGTGTGGGCGAAGATGATGGCGGGCGATGATGATAGGATAATGATGATGATGGTGGGTCAATGATAATGATGGGGACGATGATGATGGGACGATGATGATGGGGGCGATGATGATGGTGATGATGATAGGATGATGATGATGGGTCAATGATAATGATGGGGACGATGATAATGGGTCAATGATGATGATGGGGATGATGATGATGATGGTGATGATGATAGGATGATGATGATGATGGGTCAATGATGATGATGGGAACGATGATAATGGGACGATGATGGGGGCGATGATGATGATGGTGATGATGATAGGATGATGATGATGGGGATGATGGCGATGATGATAGGATGATGATGATGGGTCAATGATGATGATGGGGACGATGATGATGATGGTGATGATGATAGGGACGAGTAGAGGCTTCACTTCTTCTTGCAGCAGCTCCAGGCCCCGTGCAGGCACGAGCCGAGGCGGCTCTCGGATCGCGAGCAGAAGCGAGACTGGCGACAGCGGGCGTTGTTGGCGAGACACAGACTCGTGTCATCCCAGCGCCTCCCTAGTGGGACACACGGACACAGTGGGACACGGTAGGACACAGCGGGAGACAGTGGGACACAGTGGGACACAGTGGGACACACGGACACAGTGGGACACGGTGGGACACAGCGGGACACACGGACACAGTGGGACACACGGACACAGTGGGACACGGTGGGACACGGTGGGACACACGGACACAGTGGGACACGGTGGGACACACGGACACAGTGAGACACACGGACACAGTGGGACACAGTGGGACACACGGACACAGTGGGACACAGTGGGACACACGGACACAGTGGGACACAGTGGGACACACGGACACAGTGGGACACACGGACACAGTGGGACACAGTGGGACACACGGACACAGTGGGACACACGGACACAGTGGGACACACGGACACAGTGGGACACAGTGGGACACAGTGGGACACACGGACACAGTGGGACACAGTGGGACACACGGACACAGTGGGACACACAAACACAGTGGGACACAGTGGGACACAGTGGGACACACGGACACAGTGGGACACAGTGGGACACACAAACACAGTGGGACACAGTGGGACACAGTGGGACACACGGACACAGTGGGACACACGGACACAGTGGGACACACAAACACAGTGGGACACACGGACACAGTGGGACACACGGACACAGTGAGACACACGGACACAGTGGGACACAGTGGGACACACGGACACACGGACACAGTGGGACACAGTGAGACACACGGACACACGGACACAGTGAGACACACGGACACAGTGGGACACGGTGGGACACACGGACACAGTGAGACACACGGACACAGTGAGACACACTTACACAGTGAGACAGTGGGACACGGGGTACACAAGAGTCGCGTCGCCCCAGCGCCTCCCTAGTGGGACAAAGACAAAGCTCCCCCGTGTAGCCTTAACAGACTGCTGGGGCAAGTGCTGCTAGCGAGGAGCAGCACCCTGTTGTGAAGGCTACCGGCACTGTGACACACACGAGGGGGTGGGTGGCCAGCACCACGCGCGGCCGCCTTTGTCTCCCCAGTGGCGATGTTTACTACACGGTACACACGACACCAGGCACTCATTTGAGGCCGAGTCGACCTAGGGGAGGCACGAACCCGGCTGTGGCCATCTCTCTCTATATATAAAATTATAGATTTGAAGCTTTCGTGACTTGCAAGGATCCATACTCAACACAAGTCGCCTTCATCATCCTCTGGACAGTCCAGTCCCTTCACCTGATGAAGGCCACTTGTGTTGTGGCCGAAACGTCGTGATTTTTTGTTATTTTATTTTTACCTACGTGACTTTACCGAATAGAACCAAAGAGTGTATATATATAAAAGGCAAAGTTGGGATTATGTGCGTCTGTTAAAAATGTTTAGCGTGCTTCTCGACATGCAACAAACTTGAATGTTGCCATGTGCGTACTTTCCAGACTGTACGCCATGCAAAACGTATAAAAATAGACTTTTGTGAGCGGTGACGTCAGATCTGTGACGTCACCCGCATGCGGTAGCGTCACGCAGTGTGACGTCACGCAGCCCCCCCCCCCCACCCCCAACCCGTCTGCGTAGGCCGTGAATTAATTCAAAACAAGAAACTAAGTCACGGGCGAAGCCCGGTGAAGTAAAGCTAGTACGTTATAAAGAGGTGATGAAATAAAAATAAATAAAAACACTCAAATATTAAAACACGTACATTTTTAAACTTGCTCAGTAAAGTCCATTGTCTTTTAATAAAGTATTAAAGCTTTCGTGACCGCATAAAATAACTCAGTGGTTTTTTTCGGTAAAGTCACGTATGTAGAAATACGTTAAAATTATAATTATTGTTTTTTGTTTTAATATAATTTTAATGTATTTCTACAGACGTGACTTTACCGAAAACACCAATGAGTCATTGTGTTTTTTTTCATTTGCCATGCGGCCGGATAATTCGACAAAGCGCTCACCTTAAACACCCCCGGTCGTTGGTAAAAGTCGAAGGCGGTGTAGTACTGTAGTAGTAGAGCAAGTGCGGAATCACTGAACCAGGAAGTGATAGCTTTAAAGCGTTTAGCGCGGGGCCCTTGAAAGTGCGGGGCCCGTTGCTACTACACGTGTAGTGTTACTACTACGTGTAGTAGCTACTACACGTGTAGTAGCTACTACACTACTACACGTGTACTACACTACTACACGTGTAGTAGTAGTGTAGTAGTTACTACTACACGTGTAGTAGCTACTACACTACTACACGTGTAGTAGCTACTACACTACTACACGTGTAGTAGCTACTACACTACTACACGTGTACTACACTACTACTACACTACTACACGTGTACTACACTACTACACGTGTAGTAGCTACTACACTACTACACGTGTACTACACTACTACACGTGTAGTAGCTACTACACTACTACACGTGTACTACACTACTACTACACTACTACACGTGTACTACACTACTACACGTGTAGTAGCTACTACACTACTACACGTGTACTACACTACTACACGTGTAGTAGCTACTACACTACTACACGTGTACTACACTACTACACGTGTAGTAGCTACTACACTACTACACGTGTAGTAGCTACTACACTACTACATACACTACTACACGTGTAGTAGCTACTACTACAGGTGTAGTAGTAGCTACTACGTTTGTTGCGACCGTTGCTGCTACTACTACTACTACGGTAATCCGGCACTGGGTTTCGTGGTGACCGCTACGCCACCAGCAGACGCGCAAAATGCAACTCAGTTTATTTAACGTAAGTGCTGTCGGACGGACATCTCCGTACGACCGGCTAACTGCGGTATTGACCGGGGCGGGCCGTCGGATTCCAACCGCGAAGCAACGGCACTCTCAGGCTGCAGCAAGCGATGGGGTCAGGTGACAGGAGGCGCGGTGGTCTGAGAGGGCGAGGGCCCTCGGAGGGGACTGGCACGGAATCGTGGCTCACCTTCGGCTGTGAGCACGAGCAGGAACAGCAGGAGGGTGATGATGAGAACGAGGAGATGGAGTGGAGCCCTCATCGTGCCAGCTGGAGGAGAGGGAGGAAGAGTCACCACCAGACCCACCACACCCCGAGTCCTTGCCATCCACGACTCAGTCTCGCCCCTCCCCCCCCACCACGTTACCCCACTCCACGTTACCCCCCCCACCGCCCCACGTTATACCTCCCCCCTCCGCCACGTGGCAGCTGTGAACCCTACACGCGCACTCTGTGTGAGTCTATGGGTCTCTGTGTGAGTCTATGGGTCGATGTGTGACTCTACGGGTCTCAGTGTGAGTCTATGGGTCTCAGTGTGAGTCTATGGGTCTCTGTGTGAGTCTACGGGTCTCTGTGTGAGTCTACGGGTCTCTGTGTGAGTCTATGGGTCTCTGTGTGAGTCTATGGGTCTCTGCGTGAGTCTATGGGTCTCTGTGTGAGTCTATGGGTCTCTATGTGAGTCTATGGGTCTCTATGCGAGTCTACGGGTCTCTGAGTGATTCTGTGTGCCTCTGTGTGAGTCTATGGGTCTCTGTGTGAGTCTATGGGTCTCTGTGTGAGTCTATGAGTCTCTGTGTGAGTGTCTCTGTGTGACTCTATGGGTCTCTGTGTGAGTGTCTCTGTGTGACTCTACGGGTCTCTGTGTGAGTCTACGGGTCTCTGTGTGACTCTATGAGTCTCTGTGTGAGTGTCTCTGTTTGACTCTATGAGTCTCTGTGTGAGTCTACGGGTCTCTGTGTGAGTCTATGGGTCTCTGTGTGAGTCTATGGGTCTCTGTGTGAGTCTATGGGTCTCTGTGTGAGTCTACGGGTCTCTGTGTGAGTCTACGGGTCTCTGTGTGAGTCTATGGGTCTCTGTGTGAGTCTATGGGTCTCTGCGTGAGTCTATGGGTCTCTGTGTGAGTCTATGGGTCTCTGTGTGAGTCTATGGGTCTCTATGCGAGTCTACGGGTCTCTGAGTGAGTCTATGTGTCTCTGTGTGAGTCTATGGGTCTCTGTGTGAGTCTATGGGTCTCTGTGTGAGTGTCTCTGTGTGACTCTATGGGTCTCTGTGTGAGTGTCTCTGTGTGACTCTACGGGTCTCTGTGTGAGTCTACGGGTCTCTGTGTGACTCTATGAGTCTCTGTGTGAGTGTCTCTATGCGACTCTACGAGTCTCTGTGTGAGTCTACGGGTCTCTGTGTGACTTTATGAGTCTCTGTGTGTCTCTGTGTGACTCTATAAATCTCTGTGTGACTCTATGAGTCTCTGTGTGAGTGTCTCTGTATGACTCTATGAGTCTCTGTGTGACTCTGTGAGTCTCTATGGGTCTCTGTATGACTCTATGGGTCTCTGTGTGAGTGTCTCTGTGTGACTCTATGAGTCTCTGTGTGAGTCTATGAGTCTCTGTGCAACTCTATGAGTCTCTGTGTGACTCTATGAGTCTCTGTGTAAGTGTCTCTGTGTGACTCTATGAGTCTCTGTGTGACTCTATGAGTCTCTGTGTGAGTGTCTCTGTGTGACTCTATGAGTCTCTGTGTGGCTCTATGAGTCTCTGTGTGACTCTACGAGTCTCTGTGTAAGTGTCTCTGTGTGACTCTATGAGTCTCTGTGTGACTCTATGAGTCTCTGTGTGAGTGTCTCTGTGTGACTCTATGAGTCTCTGTGTGGCTCTATGAGTCTCTGTGTGACTCTACGAGTCTCTGTGTGTGTCTCTGTGTGACTCTATGAGTCTATGTGTCTCTGTGTGACTCTATGAGTCTCTGTGTGAGTCTATGTGTCTCTGTGTGGCTCTATGAGTCTCTGTGTGACTCTACGAGTCTCTGTGTGACTCTATGTGTCTCTGTGTGACTCTACGGGTCTCTGTGTGAGTATATGTGTCTCTGTGTGACTCTATGGGTCTCTGTGTGACTCTACGGGTCTCTGTTTGACTCTATGAGTCTCTGTGTGAGTGTCTCTGAGTGACTCTACGAGTCTCTGTGTGACTCTATGAGTCTCTGTGTGAGTGTCTCTGTGTGACTCTATGAGTCTCTGTGTGACTCTATGAGTCTCTGCGTGACTCTATGTGTCTCTGTGTGACTCTACGGCTCTCTGTGTGAGTCTATGTGTCTCTGTGTGACTCTACGGGTCTCTGTGTGACTCTATGAGTCTCTGTGTGAGTGTCTCTGTGTGACTCTATGAGTCTCTGTGTGACTCTATGAGTCTCTGCGTGACTCTATGAGTCTCTGTGTGACTCTACGAGTCTCTGTGTGACTCTACGAGTCTCTGTGTGACTCTATGAGTCTCTGTGTGAGTCTACGAGTCTCTGTGTGAGTGTCTCTGTGTGACTCTACGGGTCTCTGTGTGAGTGTCTCTGTGTGAGTGTCTCTGTGTGAGTGTCTCTGTGTGACTCTATGAGTGTCTGCGCGACTCTACGAGCCTCTGTGTGAGTGTCTCTGTGACTCTATGAGTCTTTGTGTGAGTGTCTCCGTGTGACTCTATGGGTCTCTGTGTGAGTCTACGAGTCTCTGTGTGAGTATCTCTGTGTGACTCTACGAGTCTCTGTGTGAGTCTATGAGTCTATGTGTGACTCTATGAGTCTCTGTGTGTCTCTGTGTGACTCTATGAGTCTCTGTGTGAGTCTATGTGTCTCTGTGTGACTCTATGAGTCTCTGTGTGACTCTACGAGTCTCTGTGTGACTCTATGGGTCTCTGTGTGACTCTACGGGTCTCTGTGTGACTCTATGAGTCTCTGTGTGAGTGTCTCTGTGTGACTCTACGAGTCTCTGTGTGAGTATCTCTGTGTGACTCTACGGGTCTCTGTGTGAGTATATGTGTCTCTGTGTGACTCTATGGGTCTCTGTGTGACTCTACGGGTCTCTGTGTGACTCTACGGGTCTCTGTGTGAGTGTCTCTGTGTGACTCTATGGGTCTCTGTGTGACTCTATGAGTCTCTGTGTGACTCTATGAGTCTCTGTGTGAGTGTCTCCGTGTGACTCTATGAGTCTCTGTGTGACTCTGTGAGTCTCTATGGGTCTCTGTATGACTCTATGAGTCTCTGTGTGACTCTATGTGTCTCTGTGTGACTCTACGGGTCTCTGTGTGAGTCTATGTGTCTCTGTGTGACTCTACGGGTCTCTGTGTGACTCTATGAGTCTCTGTGTGAGTGTCTCTATGTGACTCTATGGGTCTCTGTGTGAGTCTATGAGTCTCTGTGTGACTCTACGGGTCTCTGCGCAGAGTCTATGAGTCTCTGTGTGAGTGTCTCTGTGTGACTCTACGAGTCTCTGTGTGACTCTACGGGTCTCTGTGTGAGTGTCTCTGTGTGACTCTACGGGTCTCTGTGTGACTCTACGGGTCTCTGTGTGACTCTACGGGTCTCTGTGTGACTCTATGAGTCTCTGTGTGAGTGTCTCTGTGTAACTCTACGGGTCTCTGTGTGAGTCTACGAGTCTCTGTGTGACTCTATGAGTCTCTGTGTGACTCAACGGGTCTCTGTGTAACTCTACGGGTCTCTGTGTAACTCTACGGGTCTCTGTGTAACTCTACGGGTCTCTGTGTAACTCTACGGGTCTCTGTGTGAGTCTACGAGTCTCTGTGTGACTCTATGAGTCTCTGTGTGACTCAACGGGTCTCTGTGTGACTCTACGGGTCTCTGTGTGAGTCTATGGGTCTCTCTGTGTGACTCTATGAATCTCTGTGTGACTCTACGGGTCTCTGTGTGACTCTATGAGTCTCTGTATGAGTGTCTCTGTGTGACTCTTTGGGTCTCTGTGTGAGTCTATGAGTCTCTGTGTGACTCTACGGGTCTCTGTGTGACTCTACGGGTCTCTGTGTGACTCTACGGGTCTCTGTGTGACTCTACGGGTCTCTGTGTAACTCTACGGGTCTCTGTGTAACTCTACGGGTCTCTGTGTAACTCTACGGGTCTCTGTGTAACTCTACGGGTCTCTGTGTGAGTCTACGAGTCTCTGTGTGACTCTACGGGTCTCTGTGTGAGTCTATGGGTCTCTCTGTGTGACTCTATGAATCTCTGTGTGACTCTACGGGTCTCTGTGTGACTCTATGAGTCTCTATATGAGTGTCTCTGTGTGACTCTACGGGTCTCTGTGTGAGTCTACGGGTCTCTGTGTAAGTCTACGGGTCTCTGTGTGACTCTACGGGTCTCTGTGTGAGTCTACGGGTCTCTGTGTGAGTCTACGAGTCTCTGTGTGACTCTACGGGTCTCTGTGTGACTCTACGGGTCTCTGTGTGACTCTACGGGTCTCTGTGTGAGTCTATGAGTCTCTGTGTGAGTGTCTCTATGTGACTCTACGGGTCTCTGTGTGACTCTACGGGTCTCTGCGCAGAGTCTATGAGACCCATTCCGCCCAGGCTGCCGCGCCTGTCGGCAGGTCAGCACTGTGGTGGAGGCGCGTAGCGCGATGCAGGATGAGGATGATGAGGATGAGACTCACCTGTGCCTCGGGAGGGAGAGCTGAGCAGAGGTGAGGACAGGTGAGGGAGAGGTGAGGAGAGAGCTGAGAGAGAGCTCAGCGAAGCGGTCGAGTTCGCCTCTGCGTTGATGTCAATGGGAGTGGACTCACTAATTGATGATGTCAGTGGGAGTGGACTCACTAATTGATGATGTCACTGGGAGTGGACTCACTAATTGATGATGTCACTGGGAGTGGACTCACTAATTGTACCCCGCCACGGATGACGGCAGGCTCTGTTCGCATGCACGTGCCCGCACGCGTGGCCATTAGGCTGGGATGGATAATGCGCAGCTTTAAACAACAACAACAACGACGTTCGGTCGACGTCACGTCGCGCGCGCCTGTGCCAGGCTAGGTGCAGGAGGGTGTCTCTCTCTCTCTCTGAGTCGTTGTTGACCGACCGAGATGACCGGGGCCGACGCATCAGCTGTGCACCACCCCCCACAAACCCCCCAGCGCCTAATTGTGCCAACTCGCTGCGCTTTAGCCGCCCGGCGCTCCGCTCGTTGTTGTGAGCAGCATCGCTCCTCCGCTATTGCTGGAGGGGCGACTGCCTCCAACTGCAGCAGCGTCCTTCACGAGCCTCCTCATCCTCCACTTCCTCCACAGAGGGCGATCTCGACACCGCTGGGAACGGCTCATCGGCAAGACCGCTCAGCTCCACGTCCTCCCGTACCGCATCAGCTTCCATCTCTTCTCCAGCCCGTGTCGTTTACCCCGCTTTAGCCCCCCCTCAACCACTCATTCACTCACACTCAATCACTCACTCACACACTCAACCACTCACTCACACACACAACCACTCACTTACTCACACACTCAATCACTCACTCACACACTCAACCACTCACTTACTCAACCACTCAACCACTCACTCACACACACACTCAATCACTCACTCACACACTCAACCACTCACACACTCAACCACTCACTCACTCACACACTCAACCACTCACACACTCAACCACTCACTCATACACTCAACCACTCACACACTCAACCACTCACTCACTCACACACTCAACCACTCACACACTCAACCACTCACTCATACACTCAACCACTCACACACTCAACCACTCACTCACACACACACTCAACCACTCACACACTCAACCACTCAACCACTCACTCACACACACTCAATCACTCACTCACACACTCAACCACTCACTCACTCACACACTCACTCACTCAGACACTCAATCACTCACTCATTCACTCAACCACTCGCTCACACACTCAACCACTCACTCACTCACACACTCAACCACTCACACACTCAACCACTCACTCACTCACACACTCAACCACTCACACACTCAACCACTCACTCACACACTCAACCACTCACTCACACATACTCAACCACTCACACACTCAACCACTCACTCACTCACACACTCAACCACTCTCACACTCAACCACTCACTCACTCACACACTCAACCACTCACACACTCAACCACTCACTCACACACTCAACCACTCACTCACACACACACTCAACCACTCACACACTCAACCACTCACTCAACCACTCACTCACACACACACTCAACCACTCACTCACTCACACACTCAACCACTCTCACACTCAACCACTCACTCACTCACGCACACACTCAACCACTCACACACTCAACCACTCACTCACACACTCAACCACTCACTCACACACACAGACGCAACCACTCACACACTCAACCACTCACTCACACACACACTCAATCACTCACTCACACACTCAACCACTCACTCACTCAGACACTCAATCACTCAATCACTCATTCACTCACACACTCAGCCACTCACTCACTCACTCAACCACTCACACACTCAACCACTCACTCACTCACACACTCAACCACTCACACACTCAACCACTCACTCACTCACTCAACCACTCACTCACACACACACTCACACACCCAACCACTCATTCGCTCACACACTCAACCGCTCACTCACTCACACACTCAACCACTCACACACTCACTCACACACTCAATCGACGAAGCGAGTGTGGAACAGATGGAGATGAGTCCACATTAGTGCTATAGTCGCCCTCTCAGAATACATATTTGTTCAGAATTAGAATTTTCATTCATAACCGGAGGAATCCGAAAAGCTACAAAGCTCTTTTCTCTCTCTATGTATCTCAGGGGCCACGGCTCCTCCCTAACGCCCACCCACGGCTAGAGAGAGAGAGGGAAATTTCGCACCCCCATCTCTCCGTGATCCACCAACCCTGACATGCGGCGATGACGTCATGTCACCCATGCTCCGCCGGTGGTGACGTCACGGCGAGCGGGTCCCTCGCCCCCTCCCCTGTCCCCCACAATCCTTTGCGACGTCGTCGTCGCCGCAGCCAAACAGGAAGCGACGCGTACAGTGCGAAGAGCGGCGCGCGAGCCGCACTGTACGCGGTAGGTATACAGTGAGGCACTGTACGTGCGTGGCACACAGTTGCGCACCGTACGCGGTAGGTATACAGTTGCGCACTGTGCGCGCGCGGCATACAGTCCGCGACTGTACGCCGGCGACGCACAGCCCTGCACTGTACGCGCGAGCGGTGTACAGTGGCGCACTGTACGCAGGGTGGTGCACGGCCCACCTCCCCCCCCACTGCACTGTACGCTGCGAGCGGTGTACAGTAGCGCACTGTACGCGCGTGTCCTGTCCAGGCGCTGCTGTTGTGACTTCGGTGAGCGAGCGGGCGGGCGGGCGAGCGTGGAAATGTTGAGTTCCTTTCCCCTAGGTCGACTCAGCCTTAAAATAATAGTCGATGCGCTGGCGGCGGTGGTGGGGCGTTGCCGGCGAGTTACCGGCCGCCTTTGTCTCTCCCCCCCCCTCCGCCCGACCGAGTCACCACCGGTTTTGTTTAGTCTGAGGGGAGTGGGAACTCGAGACCGTCGGGTTCGTAACGCAGTGGCGAGAGAGAGAGAGGACGACTCAGAGAGAAGGGGTGACTCAAAGAGAGAGAGAACGACTCAGAGAGGGTGACTCAGATAGAGGACGACTCAGAGAGGGAGAGGGTGACTCAGAGAGAGAGAGAGGACGACTCAGAGAGACAGAGGACTCAGAGACAGAGGACGACTCAGAAAGAGAGAGGGTGACTCAGAGAGAGAGAGGACGACTCAGAAAGAGAGGGTGACTCAGAGAGAGAGGACGACTTAGAGAGAGAGGGTGACTCAGAGAGAGAGAGGACGACTCAGAGAGAGAGAGGGTGACTCAGAGAGAGAGGACGACTTAGAGATAGAGGGTGACTCAGAGAGAGAGAGGACGACTTAGAGAGAGAGGGTGACTCAGAGAGGACGACTCAGAGAGAGAGGGTGACTCAGAGAGAGAGGACGACTCAGAGAGAGAGAGGACGACTCAGAGAGAGAGGGTGACTCAGAGAGAGAGAGGACGACTCAGAGAGAGAGGACGACTTGGAGAGAGATGACGACTCAGAGAGAGGACGACTCAGAGAGAGGACGACTCAGAGAGAGAGAGGACGACTCAGAGAGAGAGGACGACTAAGAGAAAGAGAGAGGACGACTCAGAGAGAGAGGACGACTAAGAGAAAGAGAGAGGATGACTCAGAGAGGACGACTCAGAGAGAGAGGGTGACTCAGAGAGGACGACTCAGAGAGAGAGGGTGACTCAGAGAGAGGACGACTCAGAGAGAGAGAGGACGACTCAGAGAGAGAGGGTGACTCAGAGAGAGAGAGGACGACTCAGAGAGAGAGGACGACTTGGAGAGAGATGACGACTCAGAGAGAGGACGACTCAGAGAGAGGACGACTCAGAGAGAGGACGACTCAGAGGGAGAGAGAGAGAGGACGACTAAGAGAAAGAGGACGACTAAGAGAAAGAGAGAGGACGACTCAGAGAGAGAGGACGACTAAGAGAAAGAGAGAGGATGACTCAGAGAGGACGACTCGGAGAGAGAGAGGAAGACATCTCGCAATGCTCTAATGCTTCGCACTCCCTCTCTGCCTCCTTCTCTCCCGTCCCGTCCACCCCCTTCCACCCCCCATCCACCTCCACACACAGACACACCCAGACACACACAGACACTCACAGGCACACACAGGCACACACAGACACACACAGACACACACAGGCACACAGACACACACAGGCACACACAGACGCACACAGGCACACACAGACACTCACAGGCACACAGACACACGCAGGCACACACAGACACACACACAGACACACACAGACACACGCAGGCACACACAGACACACACAGGCACACACAGACACACACAGACACACACACAGACGCACACAGGCGAGCGAGCGTGCAGGAAGTGCCCACGATGTCATCTCGTGCCCTGCGGAAGCTGAAGGGCGGGCGTGCCCAGGAGGAGTTGGGGGGCCCGGCGGTGGACGAGGAGGTGGAGGACGAGGTGGAGGACGAGGTGGAGGAGACTGGGGCGGCAGACAGCAATAGGGGGTTCGGAGCTCACCCCGTCAACCGCTTCTGCCTGGTGAGATGGGAGTGACCCCCCCCCGTTAACCCCTTGTCAGTGCCCTAACTTATTACAGACATCATTGGTGGTCACCCCGTGCCCCTTATAAACCTCAACGTCCATCCCACAAAGTCCCATCGCAAGGGAGAAACACAAACAAATAGACAATCACCACTAGTACACTCACCACTAGTACACTCACCACTACACTGACCACTACTATACTCACCACTACACACCTGTCAAACCTTTGTCATGACCTACCTCATTACAGGACCAATTCAGACCTCATTGGTCACCCCGTGCCCCTTATAAACCTCAACGTCCATCCCACAAAGTCCCATCGCAAGGGAGAAACACAAACAAATAGACAATCACCACTAGTACACTCACCACTAGTACACTGACCACTACACTGACCACTACTATACTCACCACTACACACCTGCCAACCCTTTGTCATGACCTACCTTATTACAAGACCAATTCAGAACTCATTGGTCACCCTGTGCCCCTTATAAACCTCAACGTCCATCCCACAAAGGCCCATCGCATGGGAGAAACACAAACAAATGGACAATTTGTGTTGCCCTTGTTGAGAGAGAGACACGCAAACTCCAAATCTACAGCAGGCGTCGTCAGGGTTGGGATCGAACCCACGGCCTCCTGTGTACCAGGCGAGGTAGTTAACATCTCCTAGCCACCGTGATGATGATGATGAGAGAGAGAGAGATACGCAGACTCCAAATATACAGCAGCAGGCGTTGTTAGGGTCGGGATCGAACCCACGACCTCCTGTGTACAAGGCGAGGTAGTTAACATCTCCTAGCCACCACGGCAGCCCTTAATGTTCATTGTTCTCCTCCTGCTCTGTGTTTGTAACGCATGCAGCTGGGTGAGGAGGAGGAGGAGGAGGTGGATGGTCATGAAGAGGGTGGAGGCGAGAACCGGAGCCACACACAGACACCTGGGGCAACGGAGGAGGGAAGCCTGGCCCTAAGGGTGCGTGGGCTTGTGTGTGTGTCACTGTGTGTGTGTCACTGTGTGTGTGTCACTGTGTGTGTGGCACTGTGTGTGTGGCACTGTGTGTGTCAAGTGTGTGTGTGTCACTGTGTGTCACTGTGTGTGTGTGTCACTGTGTGTGTGTGTGTGTCACTGTGTCACTGTGTGTGTGTGTCACTGTGTGTGTCACTGTGTGTGTGTCACTGTGTGTGTCAAGTGTGTGTGTGTCACACTGTGTGTGTCACTGTGTGTGTGTGTCACTGTGTGTGTCACTGTGTGTGTCACTGTGTGTGTGTCACTGTGTGTGTCACTGTGTGTGTGTGTCACTGTGTGTGTGTCACTGTGTGTGTCACTGTGTGTGTGTCACTGTGTGTGTGTCACTGTGTGTGTCAAGTGTGTGTGTGTCACTGTGTGTGTCAGTGTGTGTGTGTCGCTGTGTGTGTGTGTCACTGTGTGTGTGTGTCACTGTGTGTGTGTGTCACTGTGTCACTGTGTGTGTCACTGTGTGTGTGTGTCACTGTGTGTGTGCCACTGTGTGTGAGTGTCACAGTGTGTGTGTCACTGTGTGTGTGTGTGTGTGTCACTGTGTGTGTGTGTCACAGTCATCATGTTGGGTGACTTCAATGCCCGAGTTGGTCATGATACTGGCACCTGGTCTGGAGTGATTGGAGGGCATGGGCCAGATCAGCTCAATAACAACGGTAGGAGGCTGCTAGATTTTTGTGCAGCCCATGGGCTTGTAATTACCAACACGCTGTTCCGGCATCGGCGCATCCACACAACATCATGGATGCATGCCGGGTCCAAGCAAGAACATCTGCTGGACTACATAGTGACGGACCAGCGAATGCGAGCCCATGTCCTTGACACCAGGACCTACCGTGGAGCTGATCTGCCCTCTGACCATCGACTAGTCATCTGTAAGATGCGCCTGCCATTCTTCCACTCCGGTGGTGGGTGTACACCCAGGACCCCATTCCAACCTAAAGTGGCCTGGTCTCAGTTATCTGATGAAAGTTGCAAGCGAGAATTTCATCATCGCTTGCGGCTGGGATTGGCATCGTCCCCGACTCCTCCTGATGTCGAGGGTAAATGGGCGAGGTTTAGGACTGTGACTCATGCAGCTGCAATGGCTGCTTTGGGTACGCGGTCCAGACCTCCCCAGACACCCTGGATGACAGAGGAGTTGTTCACGATGGTTGAGAAAAAGCGACAGGCCCACTGTCATCGGCTACAGAATCCCACATCAGAGAATGAGGAGGCTTACCGCAGCCTTCGCTCGGAGGTTCGGAGAGCCGTGAGGCGCTGCAAGGATGGGTGGTGGTCGCGGGTTGCTGAGGAGATGGAGTCTGCCTCAGTGGCCCGTGATCACAAATCTCTATTTAACTCCATCAAAAAAGTAACCTGCAGCGCCACACCTATTACCATCATTAGGGGAAAAAAACGGTGATCCAATTTCCGACCCCCAGGAACAGGTTCGCAGATTTGCTGAGCATTTCTGTGAGGTCCTGGGGGAGGGAAAATCCCTCAGCCAGGAAAACCTCGTGGCACAAAGTGAGGATGACCCTGCTGAGGCTGCGGTGCCTCAAATATTGTATGAAGTCACCCCCTGTGAGTGGCTGGCTGAGGTGCCATCTGCTGAGGAAGTATTGAAGGTGATCCGGAGTCTGAGACCAGGAAAGGCAGCGGGCAGAGATGATCTCCCAAGCGAAATGCTGAGGGGGGGTGGCGTTTGTGCACAGACTGCCCTATATGACATCATAACAACAGTCTGGACCACTGGACGGGTTCCGCAGGATTGGAAGGATGCCCTGGTGGTCCCCCTTTTTAAGAAGGGGGACCGCACAGACTGTAACAACTACAGGGGCATCTCACTCCTCAGTGTGCCGGGAAAGGTCCTGGCAAGGATTATTCAGCATCGCCTTGCCAGGCACGCTGAGGAGAGGCTTGCGGAGCCCCAATGCGGTTTCAGGAAAGGGCGGTCCTGCACAGATGCCATATTTTCTGTCCGTCTGCTACAGCAGAGGTGTAGGGAATTCCAACAAGACCTACATCTCTGCTTTATTGACCTGGTCAAGGCCTATGATACCATCAGTAGGCCTGGGCTCTGGGTCGTTCTTCGTGCTTTTGGAGTACCTGACCCTCTGCTCACGATCATTAAGGACCTTCATGATGGTGAGCGGGCGCGGGTAAAACTACGTGGCCGGGAGTCAGAGCCATTCCCTGTACACCTTGGGGTGCGACAGGGATGTCCTCTGGCTCCCACATTATTTAACATCTATTTTGACCACGTAGTTCGTGAAGCCTTCAATAGCTGTACCGGGGGAATCTCCATATGGTACAGATATAATGGGAGGCTAATCGATGCCCGGGTGCGGTCAAGGGATGGCTCCCTATTGCTCAACCACGTTATGTATGCTGATGACTTGGTAATAGCTGCTCAGTCAGAGGAGGAGTTGGAGACGCTGCTGCTGAGACTGGAGCGTGCCACTAAGAGGTGGGGCCTTACCATCAGCCCCACCAAAACTAAGCACCTGCCTGGGTATTTTGTACCATCGGACACTCCACCCCCACAACTCCCAATCGGTGATGGGGCAGTTGTGGAGAGAGTGGAGAGTTTCCCATACCTGGGCAGTGTGCTTATGACTGGCTCCAGTTTAACAGCAGAGGTCTCACTCCGAATCAGTCGAGCGGCAATATCTTTTCATCGGTTGCATAACGCTGTGTGGAAGCTACCTGGTCTGTCGCTCCGCACTAAGCTTCAGGTCTTCTCGGCCACGGTCATTCCCTCCCTTCTCTACGCTTGCGAAACGTGGACCCCCCTAATGGAACATCTTCGCCGGTTAGAAACATTTAGGCTGGCCTGCCTACGATCCGTTCCTGGGTTTAACCAGACTGGATTGTGTGAGGAGCTAACAAATCCTTGAAAGATCTGGGCAGGGTCCCATCGGTGAGCTCCTCCGGCAGGCAAGGCTGCGATGGCTGGGTCATGTAGCCCGCATGCCCAGCCACCGCATGCCGAAACAGCTTTTGTTTGGCCGGATTGAGGGGGCTAAGCGGGCGCGGCACGGGCTAGAGAAGAGATGGAGTGATGTGGTACAGGAGGACGTGGAGCTGAGTGGACTTGCCGATGACTGGTACCAGCGGTGTCAAGATCGGCCTCTGTGGAGGAGGCTCGTGAAGGATGCTACTGGGCAGTTGGAGGCAGTCGCCCTCCAACAACAACGGAGGGCGGAGGAGCGACGCTCACAACAGCGAGCGGAGCGCCGGGTGGCTAAAGCACAGCAGGTTGGCACAGTAGGGGGCACAGGTGGTGCATCAGCCAGTCATCTCAGTCAGTCGACCCGTGGCACCTGGGTCTGCCCTGTGACCTCCTGCCAGCGGGCGTTCGACACTTCACGTGGCCTCAGGGTGCACATAGCCTGGCACAAGCGTCGTGGTGACGTCACCGCCACTTAGTGGCGAATGGCGGTTGTTGTTGTTGTTGTGTGTGTCACTGTGTGTGTGTCACTGTGTGTGTGTCACTGTGTGTGTCACTGTGTGTGTGTCACTGTGTCACTGTGTGTGTCACTGTGTCACTGTGTGTGTCACTGTGTGTGTGTGTGTCACTGTGTGTGTCACTGTGTCACTGTGTGTGTGTCACTGTGTGTCACTGTGTGTGTCACTGTGTGTGTGTCACTGTGTGTGTGTGTCACTGTGTGTGTGTCACTGTGTGTGTCACTGTGTGTGTGTCACTGTGTGTATGTCACTGTGTGTGTGTCACTGTGTGTGTGTGTCACTGTGTGTGTCACTGTGTGTGTGTCACTGTGTGTGTCACTGTGTGTGTCACTGTGTGTGTGTGTCACTGTGTCACTGTGTGTGTGTGTGTGTCACTGTGTGTGTGTCACTGTGTGTGTGTGTGCGTCTCTGTGTGTGTGTGTGTCACTGTGTGTGTGTCACTGTGTGTATGTCACTGTGTGTGTGTGTCACTGTGTGTGTGTGTCACTGTGTGTGTGTGTCACTGTGTCACTGTGTGTATCACTGTGTGTGTGTCACTGTGTGTGTGTGTCACTGTGTGTGTGCCACTGTGTGTGTGTGTCACTGTGTGTGTCACTGTGTGTGTCACTGTGTCACTGTGTGTGTCACTGTGTCACTGTGTGTGTGTCACTGTGTGTGTCACTGTGTGTATGTGTCACTGTGTGTGTGTGTCACTGTGTGTGTCGCTGTGTGTGTCACTGTGTGTGTCAAGTGTGTGTGTCACTGTGTGTGTCACTGTGTGTGTCACTGTGTGTGTCACTGTGTGTGTGTGTGTCACTGTGTGTGTCAAGTGTGTGTGTCACTGTGTGTGTCACTGTGTGTCACTGTGTGTCACTGTGTCACTGTGTGTGTCACTGTGTGTGTGTCACTGTGTGTGTCACTGTGTGTGTCACTGTGTGTGTCAAGTGTGTATGTGTCACTGTGTGTGTCACTGTGTCATTGTGTGTGTCACTGTGTGTGTCACTGTGTGTGTGTGTCACTGTGTGTGTGTGTCACTGTGTGTGTCACTGTGTGTGTGTCACTGTGTGTGTCACTGTGTGTGTGTGTCACTGTGTGTGTCACTGTGACACTGTGTGTGTCACTGTGTGTGTCACTGTGTGTGTCACTGTGTCACTGTGTGTGTCACTGTGTCACTGTGTGTGTCACTGTGTGTGTGTGTCACTGTGTGTCACTGTGTGTGTCACTGTGTCACTGTGTGTGTCACTGTGTGTGTCACTGTGTGTCACTGTGTGTGTCACTGTGTGTGTCACTGTGTGTGTGTCACTGTGTGTGTCACTGTGTGTGTGTCACTGTATGTGTGTCACTGTGTGTGTGTCACTGTGTGTGTGTCACTGTGACACTGTGTGTGTCACTGTGTCACTGTGTGTGTCAGTGTCACTGTGTGTCACTTTGTGTGTCACTGTGTGTCACTTTGTGTGTCACTGTGTGTGTCACTGTGTGTTTCACTATGTCACTGTGTGTGTCACTGTGTGTGTCACTGTGTCACTGTGTGTGTCACTGTGTGTGTGTGTCACTGTGTGTGTCACTGTGTGTGTCACTGTGTGTCACTGTGTGTGTCACTGTGTCACTGTGTCACTGTATGTGTCACTGTGTCACTGTGTGTGTCACTGTGTGTGTCACTGTGTCACTGTGTCACTGTGTGTGTCACTGTGTGTGTGTGCGGTCGCATGGGGAGCGGCGGTGCAGCGGTTAGCTCGATGCGCCACGAACCCGACGACCCGAGTTCGATTCCCGCTCACGGCCAACACCAGTGACGATTATCTGAACCGGTCCCGGGCCTCCCCTAGGTCGACTCAGCCTCAAATGAGTTACCTGGTGCTGTGTTGTGTAGTAAACATCGTGCCCTGCTGCTCGCTGTTGAGCCTACACCGTGGTGGGGGGACACCTTTATCTTTGTGTGCAGGGAGGTGCAAAGAAGGTGAGGAGGAGGAAGAAGCGGGCCGTGAAGGAGACCAAGGAGCAGGTGATGCAAACTGCAAGCCGCGGGTCACCTTCGGACACGAATGAGCGGATGTTCGGCCTCCTTCACTCGCCTGAGGCGTTGTTGGAGGCTTGGCGGCCTGCTTAGAAGGAACGGAGGAGAGCGAGAGAGAGAGAGCTCATTCCACTGGCATAAACTTTCCCTGTACATTAAGCAGCACTGCACCATAGACTCAACACTGCACCATAGACTCAACACTGCCCAGATATTCAACACTGCCCATAGACTCAATACTGCACCATAGACTCAACACTGCCCATAGACTCAACACTGCCCATAGACTCAACACTGCACCATAGACTCAACACTGCACCATAGACTCATCAATGCCCATAGACTCATCACTGCCCATAGACTCAACACTGCACCATAGACTCAACACTGCACCATAGACTCAACACTGCACCATAGACTCAACACTGCCCAAATATGCAACACTGCACCATAGACTCAGCACTGCCCATCGACTCAACACTGCCCATAGACCCAACACTGCCCATAGACTCAACACTACCCATAGACTCAACACTGCCCATAGACTCAACACTACCCATAGACTCAACACTACCCATAGACTCAACACTGCACCATAGACTCAACACTGCACCATAGACTCAACACTGCACCATAGACTCAACACTGCACCATAGACTCAACACTGCACCATAGACTCAACACTGCCCATAGACTCAACACTGTCCATAGACCCAACACTGCCCATAGACTCAACACTGCACCATAGACTCAACACTGCACCATAGACTCAACACTGCCCATAGACTCAACACTGCACCATAGACTCAACACTGCCCAGAGACTCAACACTGCCCATAGACTCAACACTGCCCATAGACTCAACACTGCACCATAGACTCAGCACTGCCCAGAGACTCAACACTGCACCATAGACTCAACACTGCCCAGAGACTCAACACTGCCCATAGACTCAACACTGCACCATAGACTCAACACTGCACCATAGACTCAACACTCCACCATAGACTCAACACTGCCCATAGACTCAACACTGCACCATAGACTCAACACTGCACCATAGACTCAGCACTGCCCATAGACTCAACACTGCCCATAGACTCAACACTGCCCATAGACTCAACACTGCACCATAGACTCAACACTGCCCATTGACTCAGCACTGCAGCATAGACTCATCACTGCCCATAGACTCAACACTGCGCATAGACTCAACACTGCCCATAGACTCAACACTGCACCATAGACTCAACACTGCACCATAGACTCAGCACTGCCCATAGACTCAACTCTGCCCATAGATTTCGATTTAAAGCTTTCGTGACTGCAATGATTCATCTTCTTTGGTTCTTTCGGTAAAGTCACGTAGAATGAGAATAAAATAATAAATTGATAAAATAAAATAACACAATAATATTCTCACGACGTTTCGGCCACAACACAAGCGGCCTTCATCAGGTGAAGGGGGCGAGACTGTCTGGTAGGACAGCGCTGGAGTGAGAGAGCCACGTTCAGATCACGGCTTTTAAGCTGTGTGAGAGGAACAAAGAGCCTTGACACAGGAATTAGCATAAAATTTAGCATTGAAATGGCTGAATGATTAGCTTGTGACTGGTCACAGAAATAGCTATGTTAAAAGTTAAAGCATACACATCCGCAGAGGCACCCATTGTTAAAAGGAATTAGCATAGAATTTAGCATTGGAATAGCTAAGTTAAGGCATACACATCCGCAGAGGCACCCCTTGACAATGGGATTAGCATAGAATTTAGCATTGAAATGGCTGAGTGATTCGCTTGTAACTGCTACAGAAATAGCTACGTTGAAGTCAGAGCATACACATTCACCGAGGCACTTAGTACAAATCAAACAGGAGAATTTAGCATTGAAATAACTAGGCGAATTTAGCATTGAAATAACTGGGTGATTTGCTAGTGACTGGTCACAGAAATGACTACACATCTGAGCTATTCACAGTACTATATAGTGAACCAATAAAAACTAAATTATAAATTACCTTCATGTTATCAATAAACTCTATATTCTCCAATCAGCTAAGCTACCAACCATAAGTCGTTATATATCACAATGCTATATGGCGAAAAAATGGGTGGATTCTTACCCTCAAATTTCCATACCACGGATAGCTATGGGCCCCGTTCAGACGGACGAGTTCGTCCATGGTCGGAACAGAGGAGGGGGAGAGAGACAGCTGCGAGGCCCTAGTATGCTCCATGTTGTAAACCATACCATTAACCGTGGTGTGAGAGGTATTAAGAGGCAATGCTGGCGAAAGAGCTGCGGTCTGAAGGACATCGTAAAATTACAATTAATTAAGAACAGAAATGATTTAACACATCTTTCCAGTGGTTACTAAGCCTGAATCCATCTTCTCGGTTGAAATTGTCTCTGTGCTTGTATATGTGAATGGCCTCATGAACGAATCTCTCATGGTAGCCGGTTGGTTTGCAAAGAACCTCCGTCTTGGAGAAGTCAATGTCATGTGAGCCCACTGAATTGTAACAGTGGTCTGCCACGGCAGAGGAGTTCGTCTTACCGTGTTTCAAGTCTGCTTTATGTTCGCGGATGCGGTCCGAGATATGTCTTTTGGTTTCTCCAATGTAGCTACTACCACAGAGGCACTTTAGTTTGTAAACGCCTGGGTACTGTATGTCTGGAAGAGCATCTTTTACAGATGGAACTAAATCACGGATTTTGTGTACTGTGTTGAATCGGACCTGGATCTTGTGTTTATTCAGGATTTTGGAGATCTTTTTAGTGACCCCTGCAATGTAGGGTAAGGTGATGGTTTTGAGTGGCTCCACAAGAGGATCCTTCTTCATGACTGGAGTGATGGCTTTGCGGATTGTGTAGTCGGAGTAGCCATTAGCCCTGAGAGCCTGGTGTACGTGCTTGAGTTCACTGGTAATGTGTTCCTGGTCGGAAATGCATTGGGCTCTATGGTATAGAGTCTTGATGAGGCAGTTCTTCTGGGATGGATGGTGGTGGGAATCCGGTTTCAAGTAAGCATCTGTATGGGTAGCTTTCCTGTAGACAGAGTGGCTCATTGAACCATCATGTCTCCTTTTAATTAAGACATCCAGAAAGGGTAGTTTGCCATCTTTTTCGACCTCCATGGTAAATCTGATGGCTGGGTGTATGGAATTGATGTGGTCGCGGAATTGGTCTAGAGCAGGCTGGCCATGTGGCCAGATGACAAAGGTGTCATCAACGTACCTCTTCCATAAGGTCGGGCGTAGAGTGGCAGTCTGGATGGCGTCAGTTTCAAATTTTTCCATGAATACGTTGGCTACAACCGGAGATAGGGGGGAGCCCATTGGGGTGCCCTCAGTTTGTTTGTAGAAAGTTCCATTCCAGGTGAAGTATGTGTTGGTTAAGCAATGTCTCACCAGGGGGGGTACATCAGTATGCAGTCCTTGATGAACCAGGTCTTCAATGATAGCGATGGTGTCAGGTACCGGGACTTTGGTGAACAAGGACACCACATCAAAACTGACAAGCAGGTCGTTTGGGGACAGGGAAATGTCTTTGATTGTCGATACCAGGTGAGTAGAATTTAGTACCGCAGAGGTGGTTTTTCCAGTGAAAGGTCGCAGTATATCAGCCAGAAAACGTGCCAGTTTGTAGGTGGGGGAGCTGATAGTAGAGACAATGGGACGAAGGGGTGTATCTTCTTTGTGTATCTTTGGAAGGCCATATAATCTTGGTGGTCTGGCAGCAGAGGGTTTCAACGAGAACTGTTTGATCTCATCAATTAATGCTGTTGAATCAGAGATAATTTTGTTCGTTTTGGTGACCAGGCTGTTGGTGGGATCTCTTTTTATTTTTGTATAGCTGCCATCGTTGAGTAGTTCTTGAATTTTGTTGTTATATTCTGTTTTGTCCATGATGACAGTGGCATTGCCTTTGTCGGCTGAGAGAACGACAATATCATCCCTCTTTTTTAATTGAGATAATTCAAAACGTTCGTCTTTGCTGATGTTGCTGGGTGGCAACTTAGCGTTTTTGAGGGTTGCAGCGATTTCAGATCTTGCTACGTCTGCAGAGATGTGACTCAAGCCCTTGAGTGCAACGTCAACATGGGCAATGATATCATTAACCGGTAAGTGTCTCGGTGTGACAGCAAAGTTTAGACCTTTAGCTAAAACGGATTTCAGACCATCAGAAATGGAACTGTTACTGCGATTAATTACGACTTTGTTGACGTCTATCTTTTCGGTGTGTGGATCCGATTTTTTGCTGGAGAGGTGATTGAATTTGGAAATCAAATTGTCCCTACATTTGTTCGACATAGTGGCAGCCGAAGAGGTAGTCATATTGTCTACATGTTCCCAATCCGATGTAGACATTGTTGCTGTCAATTTTAAGTGTGATTTGTAGAGTGTCTTGTCTAACTGATCGAGTTCGGTGCGTGTAAGTCTGATTTTTTTCTGGCTGATATACTGCGACCTTTCACTGGAAAAACCACCTCTGCGGTACTAAATTCTACTCACCTGGTATCGACAATCAAAGACATTTCCCTGTCCCCAAACGACCTGCTTGTCAGTTTTGATGTGGTGTCCTTGTTCACCAAAGTCCCGGTACCTGACACCATCGCTATCATTGAAGACCTGGTTCATCAAGGACTGCATACTGATGTACCCCCCCTGGTGAGACATTGCTTAACCAACACATACTTCACCTGGAATGGAACTTTCTACAAACAAACTGAGGGCACCCCAATGGGCTCCCCCCTATCTCCGGTTGTAGCCAACGTATTCATGGAAAAATTTGAAACTGACGCCATCCAGACTGCCACTCTACGCCCGACCTTATGGAAGAGGTACGTTGATGACACCTTTGTCATCTGGCCACATGGCCAGCCTGCTCTAGACCAATTCCGCGACCACATCAATTCCATACACCCAGCCATCAGATTTACCATGGAGGTCGAAAAAGATGGCAAACTACCCTTTCTGGATGTCTTAATTAAAAGGAGACATGATGGTTCAATGAGCCACTCTGTCTACAGGAAAGCTACCCATACAGATGCTTACTTGAAACCGGATTCCCACCACCATCCATCCCAGAAGAACTGCCTCATCAAGACTCTATACCATAGAGCCCAATGCATTTCCGACCAGGAACACATTACCAGTGAACTCAAGCACGTACACCAGGCTCTCAGGGCTAATGGCTACTCCGACTACACAATCCGCAAAGCCATCACTCCAGTCATGAAGAAGGATCCTCTTGTGGAGCCACTCAAAACCATCACCTTACCCTACATTGCAGGGGTCACTAAAAAGATCTCCAAAATCCTGAATAAACACAAGATCCAGGTCCGATTCAACACAGTACACAAAATCCGTGATTTAGTTCCATCTGTAAAAGATGCTCTTCCAGACATACAGTACCCAGGCGTTTACAAACTAAAGTGCCTCTGTGGTAGTAGCTACATTGGAGAAACCAAAAGACATATCTCGGACCGCATCCGCGAACATAAAGCAGACTTGAAACACGGTAAGACGAACTCCTCTGCCGTGGCAGACCACTGTTACAATTCAGTGGGCTCACATGACATTGACTTCTCCAAGACGGAGGTTCTTTGCAAACCAACCGGCTACCATGAGAGATTCGTTCATGAGGCCATTCACATATACAAGCACAGAGACAATTTCAACCGAGAAGATGGATTCAGGCTTAGTAACCACTGGAAAGATGTGTTAAATCATTTCTGTTCTTAATTAATTGTAATTTTACGATGTCCTTCAGACCGCAGCTCTTTCGCCAGCATTGCCTCTTAATACCTCTCACACCACGGTTAATGGTATGGTTTACAACATGGAGCATACTAGGGCCTCGCAGCTGTCTCTCTCCCCCTCCTCTGTTCCGACCATGGACGAACTCGTCCGTCTGAACGGGGCCCATAGCTATCCGTGGTATGGAAATTTGAGGGTAAGAATCCACCCATTTTTTCGCCATATAGCATTGTGATATATAACGACTTATGGTTGGTAGCTTAGCTGATTGGAGAACATAGAGTTTATTGATAACATGAAGGTAATTTATAATTTAGTTTTTATTGGTTCACTATATAGTACTGTGAATAGCTCAGATGTGTAGTCATTTCTGTGACCAGTCACTAGCAAATCACCCAGTTATTTCAATGCTAAATTCGCCTAGTTATTTCAATGCTAAATTCTCCTGTTTGATTTGTACTAAGTGCCTCGGTGAATGTGTATGCTCTGACTTCAACGTAGCTATTTCTGTAGCAGTTACAAGCGAATCACTCAGCCATTTCAATGCTAAATTCTATGCTAATCCCATTGTCAAGGGGTGCCTCTGCGGATGTGTATGCCTTAACTTAGCTATTCCAATGCTAAATTCTATGCTAATTCCTTTTAACAATGGGTGCCTCTGCGGATGTGTATGCTTTAACTTTTAACATAGCTATTTCTGTGACCAGTCACAAGCTAATCATTCAGCCATTTCAATGCTAAATTTTATGCTAATTCCTGTGTCAAGGCTCTTTGTTCCTCTCACACAGCTTAAAAGCCGTGATCTGAACGTGGCTCTCTCACTCCAGCGCTGTCCTACCAGACAGTCTCGCCCCCTTCACCTGATGAAGGCCGCTTGTGTTGTGGCCGAAACGTCGTGAGAATATTATTGTGTTATTTTATTTTATCAATTTATTATTTTATTCTCATTCTACGTGACTTTACCGAAAGAACCAAAGAAGTCTGCCCATAGACTCAACACTGCACCATAGACTCAACACTGCCCATTGACTCAGCACTGCAGCATAGACTCACCACTGCCCATAGACTCAACACTGCGCATAGACTCAACACTGCCCATAGACTCAACACTGCACCATAGACTCAACACTGCACCATAGACTCATCAATGCCCATAGACTCATCACTGCCCATAGACTCAACACTGCACCATAGACTCAACACTGCTCATAGACTCAACACTGCGCATAGACTCAACAGATGAAGTCTTTCATGACCCTTGCCCCAGTTCCTCCGCATTGCCGGCACACACACACACAGGCACAGAGACACACACAGGCACAGAGACACACACAGACACACACAACACACACACACACAGGCACAGAGACACACACAGACACACACAACACACACACACACAAGCACAGAGACACACACAGACACACACAACACACACACACACAGGCACAGAGACACACACAGACACACACAACACACACACACACAACACACACACACAGGCACAGAGACACACACAGACACACACAACACACACGCACACAGGCACAGAGACACACACAGACACACACAACACACACACACCTAGGGGAGGCCCAGGACCGGTAAAAAAAAAACGTCCCCGGGGGTGGCCGTGAGCGGGAATCGAACTCGGGTCGCCGGGTTCGTAGCGCGGCGTAGCGCCAACCGCTACACACACACAGACACACACACACAGATACACACACAGACACACACACACAGATACACACACACACAGATACACACACCCACGTATACACACACACACAGACACACACACACAGATACACACACACACAGATACACACGCACAGACACACACACACAGATACACACACAGATACACACACCCACACAGACAGACACACACAGACAGCACGCTAACCACTACACTACAATGCGTTAGGCTTCCACGTGTGCGGGTCACGTGACAGATTTGACGTCACAGCTCACTTGCCGTGCAAAAAATAAATGCATTTTTGAGGTCCCCCCCATCCCCCTCTCGAAAAAAACCCACACAAGTGTCTTCTTTGGTTCTTTCGGTAAAGTCACGTAGAATGAGAATAAAATAATAAATTGATAAAATAAAATAACACAATAATATTCTCACGACGTTTCGGCCACAACACAAGCGGCCTTCATCAGGTGAAGGGACGAGACTGTCTGTCACTCCAGCGCTGTCCTACCAGACAGTCTCGTCCCTTCACCTGATGAAGGCCGCTTGTGTTGTGGCCGAAACGTGAGAATATTATTGTGTTATTTTATTTTATCAATTTATTATTTTATTCCGATTCTACGTGACTTTACCGAAAGAACCAAAGAAGATGAATCATTGCAGTCACGAAAGCTTTCAATCGAAATCCACACAAGTGTATTTTAATAATTGTTGCATGGTGTACAGCCTGGAAAGTACCCACATGGCAAAATTTCAAGTTTGCTGCATGTCTGCAAGTACGCTCAACATTTTGAACAGACAGACACACACACACACAATCACAACTTTGCCTTTCATATATACCGAGATACCCGGCGGGCGTCGTCGGTGGCGGGGGTCGGGGGTCGGGGGTCATGGGGGTCAGGATCGAACCCGCGACCCTCCCGCGTATCGCTGGCGGAGGATGCTCGGCGCATCGCCCCCCCGGCCGTGCCTTTGTCGCCACGCAGGCCGTGTCGACGTCATCGTCGTCGTCGTCGCCGCCCTGGGAGGCCGCGGGGCGCAACGGGGGCGCGGACGACGACGGGGAGCACCCCCCCAGCTCGCGCGGCCAGCCGCAGCCGTGCGGCGCCCCCCACGGACACCGACAGCTCCTGAACGTCGAGCACAGGTGAGGGCCCGTGGTGGCGGCGGCGGCGGTGGTGGTGTTGGTGGCGGTGGTGGTGGCGGTGGTGGCGGCGGTGGTGGCGGCGGTGGCGGTGGTGTTGCTGCTGCTACTGGTAGAGGTGGGGATGGTAGTGGTGGTGGTGATGTTGTTAGTGCTACTGTTGCTACTGGTGGAGGTGGGTATGGTGGTGGCGTTGGTGGTGTTGCTACTGTTGCTACTGGTACAGGTGTCGGTGGTGGCGGTGTCGGTGGTGGTGGTGGTGGTGTTGTTAGTGCTACTGCTGCTACTGGTAGAGGTGGGTATGGTGGTGGCGGTGGTGGTGGTGTCGGTGGTGGTGGTGGTGTTGCTACTGCTGCTACTGGTAGAGGTGGGTATGGTGGTGGCCGTGGCGGCGGTGGTGGTGGTGGCGGTGTCGGTGGTGGTGGTGTTGTTAGTGCTACTGCTGCTACTGGTAGAGGTGGGGATGGTGGTGGTGGTGGTGCTGCTGCTGATAAAGGTGGGGGTGGTGGCGGTGGTGGCGGTGGTGGACGTGTCGGTGGTGGTGGTGTTGTTAGTGCTACTGCTGCTACTGGTGGAGGTGGGGGTGGTGGTGGTGTTGCTGCTGCTCCTGATAAAGGTGGGTATGGTGGTGGTGGTGGCGGTGTTGTTAGTGCTACTGTTGCTACTGGTGGAGGTGGGGATGGTGGTGGCGGTGGTGGTGGTGGTGGTGTTGCTACTGCTGCTACTGGTAGAGGTGGGGATGGTGGTGGTGGTGGTGTTGTTAGTGCTACCGCTGCTGCTGGTAGAGGTGTCGGTGGTGGCGGTGTCGGTGGTGGTGTTGGTGTTATTAGTGCTACTGTTGCTACTGGTAGAGGTGGGTATGGTGGTGGCGGTGGTGGCGGTGGTGTTGCTACTGCTGCTACTGGTCGAGGTGGGGATGGTGGTGGCGGTGGTGGTGTTAATGGGGAGCGGTGGTGTTAATGAGGAGCGGTGGTGCAACGGTCAGCGCGCTGCGCTACGAACCTGGCAGCCCGAGTTAGATTCCCGCTCCCGGCCAATACCAGCGACGATCATCTGAACCAGTCCTGGGCCTCTCCTAGGTCGACTCGGCCTCAAATAAGTACACCTGCATTAGCTGTGGTGATGGCGGTGTAGATTGCCAATGGGAGTCTGTTGTATCGCGTTATAACGTGGAACGCGCACCTCGTAATGGTTTGTGGTGGTGTTACGGTGGTTGTGTGTATGTGCTGTGTGGAGGCTGTAGTTTTATTATTTATGGTGGTTGTGGTGGTGGTGTGGTTACGGTGGTTGTGTGTATGTGCTGTGTGGAGGCTGTAGTTTTGTTTATGGTGGTTGTGGTGGTGGTGTGGTTACGGTGGTTGTGTGTATGTGCTGTGTGGAGGCTGTAGTTTTATTATTTATGGTGGTTGTGGTGGTGGTGGTGTGGTTACGGTGGTTGTGTGTACGTGCTGTATGGAGGTTGTGGTTGTGTTTTTTGTGGTGGTGGTGGTGTGGTTACGGTGGTTGTGTGTACGTGCTGTATGGAGGTTGTGGTTGTGTTGTTTGTGGTGGTGGTGGTGGTCGTGTGGTTCCGTTGGTTGTGTGTACGTGCTGTGTGGCGGTTGTGGTTGTATTGTTTGTGGTGGTAGTGGTTGTGGTAGTCTTGTTGTTTGTAGTATTATCGTGGTGGTGGTGGTGTTGTGGATTGCCGAGGTTATAGTCTCTTATGTCGTTGTTGTGGTTGTGGTGGTTGTTGTGGCTGTTGGTGGCTGTTGTGGTCGTGGAGGAGGCTCGTGAAGGACGCTGCTGGGCAGTTGGAGGCAGTCGCCCGCCAGCAACAACAACGGAGGGCAGAGGAGCGACGCTCACAACAACGAGCGGAGCGCCGGGTGGCTAAAGCACAGAAAGTTGGCACAGTAGGGGGGCACAGGTGGTGCATTGGCCGGTCATCTCAGTCAGTCGACCCATGGTACCTGCAGGGTCTGTCCCACGACCTCCTGCACCTAGCCTGGCACAGTAGGGGGCACAGGTGGTGCATCTGCCGGTCATCTCATTCGGTCGACCCGTGGCACCTGCAGGGTCTGTCCCGTGTCCTCCTGCACCTAGCCTGGCACAGTAGGGGGCACAGGTGGTGCATCTGCCGGTCATCTCATTCGGTCGACCCGTGGCACCTGCAGGGTCTGTCCCGTGTCCTCCTGCACCTAACCTGGCACAGTAGGGGCACAGGTGGTGCATCTGCCGGTCATCTCATTCGGTCGACCTGTGGCACCTGCTGGGTCTGTCCCGTGTCCTCCTGCACCTAACCTGGCACAGTAGGGGGCACAGGTGGTGCATCTGCCGGTCATCTCATTCTGTCGACCCGTGGCACCTGCTGGGTCTGCCCCGTGACCTCCTGCCAGCGGGCATTCAACACTTCACATAGGCCTCAACGTGCACGTAGCCTGGCACAAGCGACGTGGTGACGTCACCGCCACTTCGTGGCGAATGGCGGTTGTTGTTATTATTGGTTGGTGGTGGTTGTTTGTGGTTGTTGTGGTGAAATCTTTGTTCCCCGTTTCAGGCACTTGAACCCAGATAATGAACTCAAGCGTTTTTTTGGAGCCCGGGCTGTGATGGGAGACGCCAACAGGTACAGACACACACACACACGCACGTGCGTTAAGACAAAGGTCCCCCGTGTAGCCTCTAACAGACTGTCGGGGCAAGTGCTGTCAGTAGCGAGTAGCAGCAGCACCTATGAAGGCCGGCGTTGCTGTGATAGTGGTCGGTGCTGTTGGTATTATTGTTGATGGTGTTGTTGTTATGATAGTTGTTGGTATTATTGTTGTTGTTGATATGATAATTGGTGTTATTTTTGTTGATGATGTTATGATATTGGTTGGTGTTGTTGTGATAGTCGTTGGCTACCATGAGAGATTCGTTCATGAGGCTATCCACATGTACAAACACAGAGACAATTTCAACCGAGAAGATGGATTCTGGCTTAGCAATCATTGGAAGGATTTGATAAACCATTTCGGGGCTTAATTGATTGTTCACGCTTACGGTGGCTTTCAGATTGCATCCATTATTTTCGTCTCCCCCCTCCTCTTTTCCGAACATAGATGGACTCGTCCATCTGAACAAACTGTCAAATCGCTCTCCGTGGTGCTAACGTTTAAAAATAACCGCCACTTTTTTCAAATTTTCTTGCTGTGGTTTTCACACCTGATGATGATTGCTTGTGTTGCAGTTGAAACGTCGTGCAAATTTTATTGTTTTATATTTTTATTATTTTATTGTTTCCCTTCTACGTGGTGACTTTACCGAAATAACCAAGAATATGTTGTTGGTATTGTTGTTGTTATTCTTGGTTCTTTCGGTAATTGATTGTTCACGCTTACGGTGGCTTTCAGACCGCATCCATTATTTTCGTCTCCCCCCTCCTCTTTTCCGAACATAGATGGACTCGTCCATCTGAACAAACTGTCAAATCGCTCTCCGTGGTGCTAACGTTAAAAATAACCGCCACTTTTTTCAAATTTTCTTGCTGTGGTTGTCACACCTGATGATGATTGCTTGTGTTGCAGTCGAAACGTCGTGCTGATTTTATTGTTTTATATTTTTATTATTTTATCGTTTCCCTTATACGTGGTGACTTTACCGAAATAACCAAGAATATGTTGTTGGTATTGTTGTTGTTATTCTTGGTTCTTTCGGTAATTGATTGTTCACGCTTACGGTGGCTTTCAGACCGCATCCATTATTTTCGTCTCCCCCCTCCTCTTTTCTGAACATAGATGGACTCGTCCATCTGAATAACTGCCAAATCGCTCTCCGTGGTGCTAACGTTAAAAATAACTGCCACTTTTTTCAAATGTTCTTGCTGTGGTTTTCACACCTGATGATGATTGCTTGTGTTGCAGTCGAAACGTCGTGTTAATTTTATTGTTTTATATTTTTATTATTTTATCGTTTCCCTTATACATGACTTTACCGAAAGAACCAAGAATATGTTGTTGGTATTGTTGTTGTTATTCTTGGTTCTTTCGGTAATTGATTGTTCACGCTTACGGTGGCTTTCAGACCTCATCCATTCTTTTGTGCTCCCCCCTCCTCTTTTCCGAACATAGATGGACTCGTCCATCTGAATAAACTGCCAAATCGCTCTCCATGGTGCTAACGTTTAAAAAAAAAAACCCGCCACTTTTTTCAAATTTTCTTGCTGTGGTTTTCACACCTGATGATGATTGCTGCTTTGTGTCGCAGTCGAAAACGTCGCGCGAATTTCATTTTTTTTATATTTTTATTATTTTATTGTTTCCCTTCTACGTGGTGACTTTACCGAAAGAACCAAGAATATGTTGTTGGTATTGTTGTTGTTATTCTTGGTTCTTTCGGTAATTGATTGTTCACGCTTACGGTGGCTTTCAGACCTCATCCATTCTTTTGTGCTCCCCCCTCCTCTTTTCCGAACATAGATGGACTCGTCCATCTGAACAAACTGCCAAATCGCTCTCCGCGGTGCTAACGTTAAAAATAACCGCCACTTTTTAAAAATTTTCTTGCTGTGGTTTTCACACCTGATGATGATTGCTTGTGTTGCAGTCGAAACGTCGTGCTGATTTTATTGTTTTATATTTGTATTATTTTATTGTTTCCCTTCTACGTGATTTTACCGAAAGAACCAAGAATATGTTGTTGGTATTGTTGTTATTCTTGGTTCTTTCGGTAATTGATTGTTCACGCTTACGGTGGCTTTCAGACCGCATCCATTATTTTCGTCTCCCCCCTCTCTTTTCCGAACATAGATGGACTCGTCCATCGAGAACAAACTGCCAAATGGCTCTCCGTGGTGCTAACGTTAAAAATAACCGCCACTTTTTTCAAATGTTCTTGCTGTGGTTTTCACACCTGATGATGATTGCTTGTGTTGCAGTCGAAACGTCGTGCTGATTTTATTGTTTTATATTTTTATTATTTTATCGTTTCCCTTATACGTGACTTTACCGAAAGAACCAAGAATATGTTGTTGGTATTGTTGTTGTTATTCTTGGTTCTTTCGGTAATTGATTGTTCACGCTTACGGTGGCTTTCAGACCTCATCCATTCTTTTGTGCTCCCCCCTCCTCTTTTCCGAACATAGATGGACTCGTCCATCTGAACAAACTGCCAAATCGCTCTCCGTGGTGCTAACGTTTAAAAAAAAAAAAACCCGCCACTTTTTTCAAACTTTCTTGCCGTGGTTTTCACACCTGATGATGATTGCTGCTTTGTGTGTCGCAGTCGAAAACGTCGCGCGAATTTAATTTTTTTTCATATTTCTATTATTTTATCGCTTTCCCTTCCACGTGGTGGTGACTTTACCGAGAGAACCAAGAACACGAATCCCTGCAGTCACGAAAGCTTTAAATAAAAAATTGTTGTTGTTGTTGTTAACCGTTGCGCCGCGCCGGACGCGGTGCCCCGTGGTGCAGGAGAAGGAGGAGGCACAACCAGCCTTGTCGGCGCCACACGTGGCTCACGGTGCCCAAGGACACGTGGCCTCGCCCCGGACGCACGGGTAACCCCGCAACTTCACTCATCAGCATCAGCAGCAGCGTCATCTTCAGCAGCAGCAACATCGTCATCTTCGGTAGCATCATCATCATCAGCAGCAGCGGCAGCAGCAGCAGCAGCGGCAGCATCGGCAGCAGCATCATCAGCATCATCATCATCTTCAGCAGCAGCAACATCGTCATCTTCGGTAGCATCAGCAACATCGTCATCTTCGGTAGCATCATCATCATCAGCAGCAGCAGCAGCGGCAGCAGCATCATCATCAGCATCATCATCATCATCATCTTCAGCAGCAGCAGCAACATCGTTATCTTCGGTAGCATTATCATCATCATCAGCAGCAGCAGCATCGGCAGCAGCATCATCAGCATCATCATCATCTTCAGCAGCAGCAACATCATCATCTTCGGTAGCATCATCATCAGCAGCAGCAGCAGTAACATTATTAGCAGCATCATTATTATCAGCATCTTCATCATCAGTAGCAGCATCATAATCAACAGCATCAGCAGCAGCAGCATCGTCATCAACAGCATCATCATCAGCAGCAGCAGCATCAACAGCATCATCATCAACAGCATCGTCATCAGCAGCAGCAGCATCAACAGAATCATCATGAACAGCATCGTCATCATCAGCAGCAGCAACATCGTCATCTTCGGTAGCATCTTCAACATCATCATCAGCAGCAGCAGCAGTGACATTATTAGCAGCATCATTATTATCAGCATCTTCATCATCAGTAGCAGCATCATAATCAACAGCATCATCAGCAGCAGCAGCATCGTCATCAACAGCATCATCATCAGCAGCAGCAGCATCAACAGCATCGTCATCAACAGCATCGTCAGCAGCAGCGGCGGCAGCAGCAGCATCAACAACATCATCAGTAGCCTCATCAACAGCATCGTCATCAACAGCATCGTCATCAGCAGCAGCATCAACAACATCATCATCAGTAGCCTCATCAACAGCATCGTCATCAACAGCATCGTCAGCAGCAGCAGCAGCATCAAGAGCATCATCATCAACAGCATCGTCATCATCAGCAGCAGCAGCATCGTCATCATCAACAGCATCATCATCAGCAGCAGCAGCAGTGATCAATCCGCTGCTGGATGAGCGCGGTCATTGGGGGGGGGTGGGTGGGTGGGTGGGTGGTGGGGGGAGAATCATTGCCGCTCGTCTCCGCGTGTATGGGCGCAGGCATTGGCATGGAGCTGGTGGAGAGCCGTGGGGGGCTGCACTTCTTCCGCTTCGTCCACTCGCGCGACTACCAGCGCGTGCAGAACGCATTCCTCGACGCGGTCGACTCCATGGACCCCCACAACCTCGTGGTACTGTCCGACGATACATGTAACACACCCCCCCCCTCCCCCCCCCATAGCACAGTGGTACGCTCCGATATGCAATCGAATGTGATATCACCCCCACCCCACCCACCACCACCTCCACAGCTCAACATTTGTGGTATTGCCTGACGCCACATGTAACACCCCCATAGCACAGTGGTACGCTCCGATATGCAACCAAATGTGATATCACCCCCACCCCACCACCACCTCCACAACTCAACATTTGTGGTATTGCCTGACGCCACATGTAACACCCCTCTCCCCCCTCCATAGCACAGTGGTACGCTCCGATATGCAACCAAATGTGGTATCACCTCCCCCCCCACCACCACCTCCACAACTCAACATTTGCGGTATTGCATGACGCCACCTGTAACACCCCCCCCCCCCCATAGCACAGTGGTACGCTCCACCACCTCCACAACTCAACCTCGTGATACTGCCTGACGCCACATGTAACACCCCCATAGCACAGTGGTACGCTCCACCACCTCCACAACTCAACCTCGTGATACTGCCTGACGCCACCTGTAACACCCCCATAGCACAGTGGTACGCTCCACCACCTCCACAACTCATCCTCGTGATACTGCCTGACGCCACATGTAACACCCCCATAGCACAGTGGTACGCTCCACTACCTCCACAACTCATCCTCGTGATACTGCCTGACGCCACATGTAACACCCCCATAGCACAGTGGTACGCTCCACCACCTCCACAACTCATCCTCGTGATACTGCCTGACGCCACATGTAACACCCCCATAGCACAGTGGTACGCTCCACCATCTCCACAACTCATCCTCGTGATACTGCCTGACGCCACATGTAACACCCCCATAGCACAGTGGTACACTCCACTACCTCCACAACTCATCCTCGTGATACTGCCTGACGCCACATGTAACACCCCCATAGCACAGTGGTACGCTCCACCACCTCCACAACTCATCCTCGTGATACTGCCTGACGCCACATGTAACACCCCCATAGCACAGTGGTACGCTCCACCACCTCCACAACTCATCCTCGTGATACTGCCTGACGCCACCTGTAACACCCCCCCCCATAGCACAGTGGTACGCTCCACCACCTCCACAACTCATCCTCGTGATGCTGCCTGACGCCACATGTAACACCCCCATGGCACAGTGGTACGCTCCACCACCTCCACAACTCAACCTCGTGATACTGCCTGACGCCACGTGTATCTTTGCCACCCACCCACCCACCCACCCGTCCCTCCCTCCCTCCCCGGGCACGCCGTGGGGGGTGCCCGCGCGTGCGCCCGCCAGGCTCTGACCCACACGTCGCCCTACCACGTGGACTCGCTGCTTCAGCTCAGCGACGTCTGCCGCCTGCAGGATGACCACGAGATGGCGCGGGAGTTCGTGGGTGAGGGCGCCGCGCTCTCTTACACCGCCACCTCCAGCCTCCAGCCCCCCCCCCTCAAGCCCCCAAGCCCCCCTCCCTCATTACCCACACACCAGCCTAACCCCCCCCAGCCTCCCTCCCTCATTACCCACACCCCAGCCCCCCCCCCAAGCCCCCCTCCTTCATTGCCCCCACACCAGCCCCCCCCCCCAAGCCTCCCTCCCTCATTACCCCCACACCAGCCCCCCCCCCCCAAGCCCCCCCTCCCTCATTACCCCCACACCAGCCCCCCCCCCCCCAAGCCTCCCTCCCTCATTACCCCCACACCAGCCCCCCCCCCCCCAGCCCCCCTCCCTCATTACCCCCACACCAGCCCCCCTCCTTCATTACCCCCACCCCAGCCCCCCCCCCCAAGCCCCCCTCCTTCATTACCCCCACCCCAGCCCCCCCCCCCAAGCCCCCCTCCTTCATTACCCCCACCCCAGCCCCCCCCCCCCAAGCCCCCCTCCTTCATTACCCCCACCCCAGCCTAACCCCCCCCCCTCATTATCCCCGTGTCCCCCCCCCCCCCCGTGTCTCTCTTTCCCCCCCCCCCCCCCCAGAGAGGGCGCTCTTCTGCCTGGAGTCGAGCTTCCACCCCTTGTTCAGTCTGACCAGCGGGTCCTGTCGCCTGGACTACAGATACCCCGAGAATCGGTACAGCTCGCCAAACACTCACCACTCACCACTCCCCAAACGCTCACCACTCACCACTCCCCAAACGCTCACCGCTCACCACTCCCCAAACGCTCACCGCTCACCACTCCCCAAACGCTCACCACCCCCCAAACGCTCACCACTCCCCAAACGCTCACCACTCCCCAAACGCTCACCACTCCCCAAACGCTCACCACTCCCCAAACGCTCACCGCTCACCACTCCCCAAACGCTCACCACTCCCCAAACGCTCACCACTCCCCAAACGCTCGCCACTCACCACTCCCCAAACGCTCACCACTCCCCAAACGCTCACCACTCCCCAAACGCTCACCACTCCCCAAACGCTCGCCGCTCACCACTCCCCAAACGCTCGCCACTCCCCAAACGCTCGCCACTCCCCAAACGCTCACCACTCCCCAAACGCTCGCCGCTCACCAAACGCTCGCCACTCACCACTCCCCAAACGCTCGCCGCTCACCACTCCCCAAACGCTCACCACTCCCCAAACGCTCACCACTCCCCAAACGCTCACCACTCCCCAAACGCTCGCCGCTCACCACTCCCCAAACGCTCACCACTCCCCAAACGCTCGCGCTCACCACTCCCCAAACGCTCGCCACTCCCCAAACACTCGCCGCTCACCACTCCCCAAACGCTCACCACTCCCCAAACGCTCACCACTCCCCAAACGCTCGCCGCTCACCACTCCCCAAACGCTCACCACTCCCCAAACACTCGCCACTCCCCAAACGCTCGCCGCTCACCACTCCCCAAACGCTCGCCGCTCACCACTCCCCAAACGCTCACCACTTCCCAAACGCTCGCCACTCCCCAAACGCTCGCCGCTCACCACTCCCCAAACGCTCACCACTCCCCAAACGCTCACCACTCCCCAAACGCTCACCACTCCCCAAACGCTCACCACTCCCCAAACGCTCGCCGCTCGCCGCTCCCCAAACGCTCACCACTCCCCAAACGCTCGCCACTCACCACTCCCCAAACGCTCACCACTCCCCAAACGCTCACCACTCCCCAAACGCTCACCACTCCCCAAACGCTGACCACTCCCCAAACGCTCACCACTCCCCAAACGCTCGCCACTCCCCAGACGCTCGCCACTCACCGCTCACCAGCCGCTCGCCGCTCACCGCGTCAACACGCTCGGTGCACTTGGGACGATGTCGCACCAGCGACCCAGCAGCAACGACAAGGACGTGCACCTGAATAGGCCCCAGGGCCCTCGCCTAGGTCGACTCCGCCCTTAAACGAGTAACCCGGTGGCGGCGGCGGCGGCGTGAAGTTAAACGCCCGCGTCGGGGAGACAAAGGCGGCCGGGCGCGGTTCAGAATTGATACCGCAGGAGCTATCCGATGAGCTGTAAAGCTCTTTTACTCGCAGATGTCCCGGTAGGTAAGCACGTTAAGAACGAACGCGGTAGAAAAAGCGAGGTCGTGAGGATCTTATTTGCGGTATTTTTTATTTATCAATTTATTATTTTATTCTCATTCTACGTGGTGGTGACTTCACCGAAAGGACCAAAGAAGATGAATCCTTGCAGTCACGAAAGCTTCAAATCGAAATAAAAGCACGGTGGTCAAAGACAAGTGAACGCATCACCCGGACACTTTACAAATGAAGCAATTGGCGGGACCCCCGGGGTCCCCATCGCTCCCCCCGGGGTGGGAAAGGCCGCGTAGCGACACGAGGCTCGTTGCCTTGCCGACAACAAAACTAGCGGTCCATCGATTGGCCTCGTCGAGAGCCACTCGGCGGCACTAAGTTTCGTAAAAAGTTTAAAAATGATTACGTAAACACGTTAAATTCACTACGGGGGGTTGGGGGGGGTGGCGGGGCTCGCCTTGGCAAAGAAGCCGAGGATCGACGGCTGACCCGGAGGGCGTCCGTCGCCGCTCGCGACCGCGACGGACCCCCGGGGCTCGCGATTGGCCGGCGGGGTGGCGCCCCGTCGTGTCGCTCGCCGCCCGCTGCTGCCGCCGCTGCTGCTGCTGCCGCCGCTGCTGCTGCTACTACTGCTGCTGCTACTGCTGCTGCTACTACTGCTGCTGCTACTACTGCTGCTACTGCTGCTGCTACTGCTGCTGCTGCTTGTCGGCGCGAGTCTGGGCGGGCGGCGCGTTGCTGTCGGGGTCACGAGTGGGCGGACTGAAAAATAATGATAATTATTATTGACCTGATATCTTGCTGGAGCCCGGGGTCCCGCCAAATGATTGAAATGCATATTCTTAGCTCTTTCGGTAAAGTCACGTTGAAGGGAAACAATAAAATAATAAAAAAATATATAAAACAATATATTTTATTATTTTATTGCTCCGATTCAACGTGACTTTACCGAAAGTGCTAAGAATATGAATTACTGCAGTCACGAAAGCTTTAAATCAAGATTCCAATAGAGTAAAAAAGCCTTGGATTTGCGAGCACAATTCGCTCCGGGAAACGTGCCTGTAATCCAAAGCACTCCGTATATCAAAGCACTCCGTACGTCAGTTGCGTGATCACGTGACGCTCAGCAGTACAAAGCGTGCAGCACGTGCTACTGCTCGTGTTGCAGGACCCCCTCGCTCGTTTATCAAGTTAATATTTATTTATTAAAAATAAAAAATTTTGCTCGTCTTGCGAAACACTCTCGCAGACCAAGTTACTCGCAATCCACAAGGTTTTACTGCACGACACTACACCATCCCCCCCCCCCCCCATCCTACCAGGGCAATGCCCCACTGAGGCCGCTGTGTAGCGCTTTGTCAGAAGCGGCCCCCCCTAGGCCATCACAAACGATGGCGGCTCAACACAAAGTGGCTTAATCGCCGTCGTGTGGAAATCTATAGCGGCAAAATAATCTGAAATACTCCGCTGTGTTTATTACTGCGGGAGGAATCCGATGAGCTATGAAGCTCTTTTTTACTCACAGTTGTCCAGTAGGGCTACGGGGTAAGAATGTTACAACAACAAACACACGCAAAATTTTGATTTAAAGCTTTCGTGACTGCAGGGATTCATATTCTTGGTTCTTTCGGTAAAGTCACCACCACGTAGATAGGGAAACAATAAAAATAATAAAAATATAAAACAATACGATTCTCACGACGTTTCGACTGCAACACAAGCAATCATCATCAGGTGTGATTTTATTGTTTTATATCTTTATTACTTTATTGTTTCCCTTCTACGTGACCTTACCGAAAGAACCAAGAATATGGAACGCACGATCGTCGTGGCAAAGTGCAAGACAGTTACACAAACCGCCCAGACACTTCACAAATACAACGCTGAACCATCCCCCATCCTACCCGGGCGAAGCCCCCCCCCCCCCCCCCCCCCCGAGCTATGTAACTTGTCCCGTCCGAAGCGACCCGTGAGCCGCCGCCGCCGCTTGCCCCGGCGGCCTGTTGAAACGTACTCTTTGGTTCTATTCGGTAAAGTCACGTAAAAGTATAAAACAACAAAAAATTCTCACGACGTTTCGGCCACAACACACAAGTGGCCTTCATCAGGTGAAGGGACCAGACTGTCTCGAGGACAGCGCTGGAGTGAACACAGCCAAGCTCAGGCCGCGACCTTTAAGTTTGTGTGAGAGGAATTAAGGTGCCTTGACAAAGGGATTAGCGTAAAAATTTGCATTTAATTGGCGGACTTAGCACGATGAACGGTGTAGAGGCGGTGAACATGTGCAGAGCGGCGAGGGGGGAGAGGGGGAGTTTACATATTGATGGTGTGAAAAGGGAATTTAAGCAGCTGCGGAAGTTTTGGGATACCGCTACTTGAAAAAAATATACTGTACCGTTGAAAATTAGTTTAATGTTTGGTTCGACTCAGAACATCTTTCCAATGGTTGCTTAATTTGAAACCATCCTCTCGGTTGAAATTGCGTCCGTGTTTGTAAATCTGAATTGCCTCGTGAACAAATCTCTGATAAAAAAAAAAACCCGTGGGTTTGCAAAGAACCTTGGTATCGGAGAAAATTATATCGTGAAAGGCTACTCGCGGTGGATGCGTCTGTGTTGGGTGCAGGTCATTGTACCTGGCCCTGTTCAAGCACCTCGCCGCGCTAGAGAAGAGGGGCTGCTCACGCACGGCACTCGAGTTGGCCAAGCTGATACTGAGGCAGGCGCTCCTCCCGCTCGTATCAGCGCGCGTGTGCACGTGTGTGCGCGTGTGTGCGCGTGTGAGTGTGTACGTGTGTGTGTGTGTACGTGTGCACGTGTGTGTGTGCACGTGTGTGACGTGTGTGTACGTGTGTGTGTGTGTGTACGGGTGTACGTGTGTGTACGGGTGTACGTGTGACTTGTGTGCGTGTGTGTACGTGTGTGTACGTGTGTGCACGTGTGTGCACGTGTGTGTGTTTACGTGTGTGTGTGTGTGCACGTTTGACGTGTGTGTACGTGTGTGTGTGTACGTGTGACGTGTGTGTGTGCGCACGTGTGTGTGTGTGTACGTGTGTGTGTACGTGCGTGTATGTACGTGCGTGTGTGTACGTGCACGTGTGTGTGTGTGCACGTGTGTGTGTGTGTACATATTTACGTGTGTGTACGTGTGTACGTGTGTGTGTGTACGTGTGTGTGTACGTGTGTGTCCTGCCATTGGCGAGCCTTCGGCACGTCACGTGCACCTGGCCTGGCACAGTTGTGACGTCACCGTCACTTAGTGGCAAATTGCGGCTATTGGAATTTATGTGCTGTATGTATATTGGTATGCTGTGTGTATATTGGTATGCTGTGTGTGTATTGGTATGATGTGTGTATATTGGTTTGCTGTGTGTATATTGGTATGCTGTGTGTATATTGGCTTGCTGTGTGTATATTGGTGTGATGTGTGTGTGTATATTGGTATGCTGTGTGTATATTGGTGTGCTGTGTGTATATTGGTATGCTGTGTGTATATTGGTTTGCTGTGTGTATATTGGTGTGCTGTGTGTATATTGGTGTGCTGTGTGTATATTGGTGTGCTGTGTGTATATTGGTATGCTGTGTGGAAATTGGTATGCTGTGTGTATATTGGTATGCTGTGTGTATATTGGTATGCTTTGTGTATATTGGTACACTGTGTGTATATTTGTATGCTGTGTGTATATTGGTGTGCTGTGTGTATATTGGTATGCTGTGTGTATATTGGTGTGCTGTGTGTATATTGGTATGCTGTGTGTATATTGGTGTGCTGTGTGTATATTGGTATGCTGTGTGTATATTGGTGTGCTGTGTGTATATTGGTATGCTGTGTGTATATTGGTATGCTGTGTGTATATTGGTGTGCTGTGTGTATATTGGTATGCTGTGTGTATATTGGTGTGCTGTGTGTATATTGGTATGCTGTGTGTATATTGGTGTGCTGTGTGTATATTGGTATGCTGTGTGTATATTGGTATGCTGTGTGTATATTGGTGTGCTGTGTGTATATTGGTGTGCTGTGTGTATATTGGTATGCTGTGTGTATATTGGTATGCTGTGTGTATATTGGTGTGCTGTGTGTATATTGGTATGCTGTGTGTATATTGGTATGCTGTGTGTATATTGGTGTGCTGTGTGTATATTGGTGTGCTGTGTGTCTCACTGTCCCCGTGCCTCCCTGTCCCTCTGTCCCCATGTCTCCCTGTCCCCGTGTCTCCCTGTCCCCGTGTCTCTCTGTCCCCGTGTCTCCCTGTCCCGTGTCTCCCTGTCTCCCTGTCCCTCTGTCCCCGTGTCTCCCTGTCCCTGTGTCTCCCTGTCTCCCTGTCCCCCTGTCCCCGTGTCTCCCTGTCCCTCTGTCCCCGTGTCTCCCTGTCTCCCTGTCTCCCTGTCTCCCTGTCCCTCTGTCCCCGTGTCTCCCTGTCCCCGTGTCTCCCTGTCCCTCTGTCCCCGTGTCTCCCTGTCTCCCTGTCCCCCTGTCCCCGTGTCTCTCTGTCCCTCTGTCCCCGTGTCCCCGTGTCTCCCTGTCCCCGTGTCTCCCTGTCCCCGTGTCTCCCTGTCCCCGTGTCTCCCTGTCCCCGTGTCTCCCTGTCCCCGTGTCTCCCTGTCCCCGTGTCTCCCTGTCCCCGTGTCTCCCTGTCCCCGTGTCTCCCTGTCCCTCTGTCCCCGTGTCTCCCTGTCCCCGTGTCTCCTTGTCTCACTATCCCCGTGTTTCCCTATCCCCGTGTCTCCCTATCCCCGTGTCTCCCTATCCCCGTGTCTCCCTGTCCCCGTGTCTCCCTGTCCCCGTGTCTCCCTGTCCCCGTGTCTCCCTGTCCCCGTGCCTCCCTGTCCCCGTGTCTCCCTGTCCCCGTGTCTCCTTGTCTCCCTATCCCCGTGTCTCCCTGTCCCCGTGTCTCCCTATCCCCGTGTCTCCCTATCCCCGTGTCTCCTTGTCTCCCTATCCCCGTGTCTCCCTGTCCCCGTGCCTCCCTGCCCCCGTGTCTCCCTGTCCCCGTGTCTCCTTGTCTCCCTATCCCCGTGTCTCCCTGTCCCCGTGTCTCCCTATCCCCGTGTCTCCCTATCCCCGTGTCTCCCTATCCCCGTGTCTTCCTGTCCCCGTGTCTCCCTGTCCCCGTGTCTCCCTGTCCCCGTGCCTCCCTGTCCCCGTGTCTCCCTATCCCCGTGTCTCCCTGTCCCCGTGTCTCTCTGTCCCCGTGTCTCCCTGTCCCCGTGTCTCCTTGTCCCCGTGTAGCCTAGCGCCGGACGAGGACCCACTGGGAGTGTTGCTGCTCATTGACCACCTGTGCCTCCGTGCTCGTGAATATCGCTACCTCACTCACTTCTACCGCCAGCTAGAGGTACTACAGTGAGGGAAAAAAAGGTATTTGATCCCCTGCTGATTTTGTACGTTTGCCCACTGACAAAGAAATGATCAGTCTATAATTTTAATGGTAGGTTTATTTGGACGGTGAGAGACAGAATAACAACAACAAAAATCCAGAAAAACGCATGTCAAAAATGTTATAAATTGATTGGCATTTTAATGAGGGAAATAAGTATTTGACCCCTCTGCAAAACATGACTCAGTACTTGGTGGCAAAACCCTTGTTGGCAATCACAGAGGTCAGACGTTTCTTGTAGTTGGCCACCAGAATTGCACACATCTCAGGAGGGATTTTGTCCCACTCCTCTTTGCAGATCTTCTCCAAGTCATTAAGGTTTCGAGGCTGACGTTTGGCAACTCAAACCTTCAGCTCCCTCCACATATTTTCTATGGGATTAAAGTCTGAAGACTGGCTAGGCCACTCCAGGACCTTAATGTGCTTCTTCTTGAGCCACTCCTTTGTTGCCTTGGCCGTGTGTTTTGGGTCATTGTCATGCTGGAATACCCATCCACGACACATTTTCAATGCCCTGGCTGAGGGAAGGAGGTCCTCACCCAAGATTTGACGGTACATGGCCCCATCCATCGTCCCTTTGATGTGGTGAAGTTGTCCTGTCCCCTTAGCAGAAAAACACCCCCAAAGCATAATGTTTCCACCTCCATGTTTGACGGTGGGGATGGTGTTCTTGGGGTCATAGGCAGCATTCCTCCTCCTCCAAACACGGCGAGTTGAGTTGATGCCAAAGAGCTCCATTTTGGTCTCATCTGACCACAACACTTTCACCCAGTTGTCCTCTGAATCATTCAGATGTTCATTGGCAAACTTCAGACGGGCATGTATATGTGCTTTCTTAAGCAGGGGGACCTTGCGGGCACTGCAGGATTTCAGTCCTTCACGGCGTAATGTGTTACCAGTTGTTTTCTTGGTGACTATGGTCCCAGCTGCCTTGAGATCATTGACAAGATCCTCCCGTGTAGTTCTGCGCTGATTCCTCACCGTTCTCATGATCATTGCAACTCCACGAGGTGAGATTTTGCATGGAGCCCCAGGCCGAGGGAGATTGACAGTTCTTTTGTGTTTCTTCCATTTGCGAATAATCGCACCTTCTCACCAAGCTGCTTGGCAATGGTCTTGTAGCCCATTCCAGCCTTGTGTAGGTCTACAATCTTGTCCTGACATCCTTGGAGAGCTCTTTAGTCTTGGTCATGGTGGAGAGTTTGGAATCTGATCGATTGATTGCTTCTGTGGACAGGTGTCTTTTATACAGGTAACAAGCTGAGATTAGGAGCACTCCCTTTAAGAGTGTGCTCCTAATCTGAGCTCGTTACCTGTATAAAAGACACCTGGGAGCCAGAAATCTTTCTGATTGAGAGGGGGTCAAATACTTATTTCCCTCATTAAAATGCAAGTCAATTTATTACATTTTTGACATGCGTTTTTCTGGATTTTGTTGTTATTTTGTCTCTCACTTTTCAAATAAACCTATCATTAAAATTATAGACTGATCATTTCTTTGTCAGTGGGCAAACGTACAAAATCAGCATGGGATCAAAAACTTTTTTTCCCTCACTGTATACATCAACAACAACAATACCATCAACAACAACAATACCATCAACAACAACAATACCATCAACAATACCATCAACAATACCATCAACAACAACAATACCATCAACAATACCATCAACAACAATTCCATCAACAACAACAATACCATCAACAACAATACCAACAACACGAACTATCATAACAATGACATCAACAATAACAATACCATCAACAACAACAATACCAACAACACGAACTACCATAACACCAACATCAACACCATCAACAAAAACAATTACAACAACAATACCATCAAAAACAACAACAATGCCATCAACAACAACAATACCATCAACAACAATACCAACAACACGAACTACCATAACAACAACCACACCATCAACAACAACAATACCATCAACAACAATAATACCATCAACAACAATAATACCATCAACAACAATACCAACAACACGAACTATCATAACAACAACAATACCATCAACAACAATAATACCATCAACAACAATAATACCATCAACAACAATACCAACAACACGAACTATCATAACAACAACAATACCATCAACAACCATACCATCAACAACAATAATACCATCAACAACAATACCAACAACACGAACTATCATAACAACAACAACACCATCAACAACAATACCATCAACAACAGCACCATCAACAACAACACCATCAACAACAATACCATCAACAACAACAATACCATCAACAACAACAATACCAACAACAACAATATCATCAACAAAAACAATACCATCAACAACAACAATGCCATCAACAACAACGGCAACAATACCATCAATAACAATACCAACAACACGAACTATCATAACAATAACAAAACCATCAACAACAACAATACCATCAACAACAAAAATACCATCAATAACAATACCAACAACACGAACTATCATAACAACAAACAGGTCCCTGCAGGGTGGGCTGGTAGGAACATTGGAATTTTGTGCAATTTTATTTTTACACCCCAACAGCACGAGATTTCACTTCGTTAAAGTATTGAAAGGGGACGGACGGACGGACGGACACATTAATCTATTGCAGGCTGGTACACTCAGTTTACAACTTCGTTCCTACCAGTATAACACCATCATCAACAACAATGCCAACAACAATAACGATACCAAACAACAATAATACCAACAACAACTGTCATAACAACAACAACAATACCAATGCTGGCCAACCAGACGACCTCGTGGTGCCACAGTGCCGGTAGCCTTCATAGGAGCTACTGCTACTCGCCAACAGCACTTGCCCCTGCAGTCTGTCACAGGCTACACGGGGGACCTTTGTCTTTGTTTGACCAGCCCAGCAAGAATCTCTCCCAGCTGCCAAACATGGCGTTCTCTGTGGCGCTCGCATGGCACCACCTGGAGGTGGAGGAGGTGGAGGCGAGGGTGGAGGAGGAGGTGGAGGAGGTGGAGGGGGGCAGGGAGGCGCGGGGAGGGGGGCACGAGGCTGGCGGGGGGTCCCACGGCTCGACCCCCAGCAAGGCCGACGAGCTCCTGCAGGAAGCTCTGCTCGCGTTCCCCTCGGGTGAGGTTTGCGTGCGGGCGCGTGTGTGTGTGACGTGTGTGTGTGTGTGCCGTGTGTGTGTGTGTGTGCCATGTGTGTGTGTGTGTGACGTGTGTGTGTGTGTGACGTGTGTGTGTGTGTGTGCCATGTGTGTGTGTGTGTGGCGTGTGTGTGTGCCGTGTGTGCCGCGTGTGTGTGTGCCGTGTGTGTGTGCCGTGTGTGTGTGTGCCGTGTGTGTGTGCCGTGTGTGTGTGTGTGCTGTGCGTGTGGGTGCGCGCGCGTGTGTGTGTGTGCCGTGTGTGTGTGTGTGTGCCGTGTGTGTGCGCGTGTGTGTGCGTATGTGTGCCGTGTGTGTGCCGTGTGTGTGAGCCGTGTGTGTGTGTGTGCCGTGTGTGTGTGCGCGTGCGCGTGTGTGTGCCCTGTGTGTGTGCCCTGTGTGTGTGTGTTGCCGTGTGTGTGTGTGCCGTGCGCGTGTGTGTGCCGTGCGCGTGTGTGTGTGTGCCCTGTGTGTGTGTGTTGCCGTGTGTGTGTGTGCCCTGTGTGTGTGTGCCGTGCGCGTGTGTGTGTGCCGTGCGCGTGTGTGTGCCGTGCGCGCGTGTGTGTGCCGTGCGCGTGTGCCATGCGTGTGTGTGTGTGCCGTGTGTGTGTGTGCCGTGCGTGTGTGCCGTGCGTGTGTGCCGTGTGTGCCGTGTGTGCCGTGTGTGCTGTGCTGTGCGTTTGCCGTGTGCCTTATGTGCTTTGTGTGCGCCTTGTGTGTGCCGTGTGTGCTGTGCGTGTGATGTGCGTGTGCAGTGTCTGTGTTGTGAGTGCCGTGCGTGTCCCGTGTATTTGTGCCGTGTGCGTGCTGTGTGTAATCAGTGCACTGCATGTGTGTGTGCTGTATGTGTGTGTGCTGTGTGTAATCAGTGCACTGCATGTGTGTGTGCTGTATGTGTGTGTGCTGTGTGTAATCAGTGCACTGTATGTGTGTGTGCTGCGTGTGCCGTGTTTGTGCTGTGCGTGTGCCTTGCACGTGTGTGTGTGTGTGTGCTGTGTGTAATGAATGCACTGCGTGTGTGTGCTGTATGTGTGTGCTGTGTGTAATGAGTGCACTGCGTGTGTGTGCTGTGTGTGTGTGCTATGTGTAATGAGTGCACTGCGTGTGTGTGCGCTGCATGTGTGTGTGTGCTGTGTGTGTGCTGTGTGTAATGAGTGCACTGCGTGTGTGTGCTGTGTGTGTGTGCTGTATGTGTGTGTGCTGTGTGTAATGAGTGCACTGCGTGTGTGTGCTGTATGTGTGTGTGTGCTGTGTGTGTATGTGTGCTGTGTGTAATGAGTGCACTGCGTGTGTGTGTGTGTGCTGTGTGTGTGTGCTGTGTGTGTGTGCTGTGTGTGTGTGCTGTGTGTAATGAGTGCACTGCGTGTGTGTGTGTGTGCTGTGTGTGTGTGCTGTGTGTGTGTGCTGTGTGTGTGTGCTGTGTGTAATGAGTGCACTGCGTGTGTGCTGTACCCAGCGCTGATGCTGTTGCTGGGGAAGTGCGGGGTGGAGCCAACGCCGGAGGTCGCACAGCACCCCTACCTGGGCACGATGGCCTCACGCGGGTAGCGCCTCACTCGCTCCTCACTCGCTCCTCACTTGCTCCTCACTCGCTCCACACTCACTCGCTCCTCACTCGCTCCTCACTCGCTCCTCACTCGCTCCACACTCGCTCGTCACTCGCTCCTCACTCGCTCCACACTCGCTCACTCGCTCCTCACTCGCTCCTCACTCGCTCACTCGCTCACTCGCTCCACACTCGCTCCACACTCGCTCCTCACTCGCTCCTCACTCGCTCCACACTCGCTCACTCGCTCACTCGCTCCTCACTCGCTCCACACTCACTCACTCGCTCCACACTCGCTCCTCACTCGCTCCTCACTCGCTCCACACTCGCTCCTCATTCGCTCCTCACTCACTCCACACTCACTCACTCGCTCCACACTCGCTCCTCACTTGCTCACTCGCTCCTCACTCGCTCCTCACTCGCTCCTCACTCACTGTCTCGCTACACACTCGCTCCTCACTTGCTCCTCACTCGTTCCACACTCGCTCCACACTCGCTCCTCACTCGCTCCTCACTCGCTCCTCACTCGCTCACTTGCTCCTCACTCGCTCCTCACTCGCTCCTCACTCGCTCCTCACTCGCTCACTGGCTCCTCACTCGCTCCTCACTCGCTCCTCACTCGCTCACTGGCTCCTCACTCGCCGCTCACTCGCTCCACACTCGCTCCTCACTCGCTCCTCACTCGCTCACTCGCTCCACACTCGCTCCTCACTCGCTGCTCACTCGCTCCTCACTCGCTCCTCACTCGCTCACTCCCTCTACATTCGCTCCACACTCACTCGCTCCTCACTCGCCCCACACTCGCTCACTCGCTCCACACTCGCTCCTCACTCGCTCCTCACTCGCTCCTCACTCGTTCTTCACTCGCTCCACACTCACTCCACACTCGCTCACTCGCTCCTCACTCGCTCACTCGCTCCACACTCGCTCACTTGCTCCTCACTCGCTCCTCACTCACTCACTCGCTCACTCACTCCTTCACTCGCTCTTCACTCGCTCCACACTCACTCCACACTCACTCACTCCACACTCACTCGACACTCACTCCACACTCACTCACTCCACACTCACTCACTCCACACTCACTCACTCCACACTCACTCCACACTCACTCCGCACTCACTCACTCCACACTCACTCCACTCTCACTCACTCCACACTCACTCCACACTCACTCACTCTACACTCACTCACTCCACACTCACTCCACACTCACTCACTCCACACTCACTCCACTCTCACTCCACACTCACTCCACACTCACTCCACACTCACTCATTCCACTCTCACTCCACTCTCACTCCACACTCACTCCACACTCACTCCACACTCACTCACTCCACACTCACTCCACACTCACTCACTCCACACTCACTCCACACTCACTCCACACTCACTCACTCCACACTCACTCACTCCACACTCACTCACTCCACACTCACTCCACACTCACTCACTCCACACTCACTCCACTCTCACTCACTCCACACTCACTCCACACTCACTCACTCCACACTCACTCACTCCACACTCACTCCACACTCACTCACTCCGCACTCACTCACTCCACACTCACTCCACACTCACTCCACACTCACTCACTCCACACTCACTCACTCCACACTCACTCACTCCACACTCACTCACTCCACACTCACTCACTCCACACTCACTCCACACTCACTCCACACTCACTCACTCCACACTCACTCCACACTCACTCACTCCGCACTCACTCACTCCACACTCACTCCACACTCACTCCACACTCACTCACTCACTCCACACTCACTCACTCCACACTCACTCACTCCACACTCACTCCACACTCACTCCACACTCACTCACTCCACACTCACTCCACACTCACTCACTCCACACTCACTCACTCCACACTCACTCACTCCACACTCACTCACTCCACACTCACTTCACTCTCACTCCACACTCACTCACTCCACACTCACTCCACACTCACTCACTCCGCACTCGCTCCACACTCCACACTCGCTCCACACTCACTCCACTCTCACTCCACACTCACTCACTCCACACTCACTCCACACTCACTCCACACTCACTCACTCCACACTCACTCCACACTCACTCCACTCTCACTCCACACTCACTCACTCCACACTCACTCACTCCACACTCACTCCAGAATCACTCCACTCTCACTCCACTCTCACTCCACACTCGCTTCGGTGGTGGTCGCGGTTGTGGTGTTGATTGTGGCGGTGGCGGTGATGATTGTGGCGGTTGTGGTGATGATTGTGGCGGTTGCGGTGATGATTGTGGCGGTGGTGGTGATGATTGTGGCGGTTGTGGTGATGATTGTGGCGGTTGCGGTGATGATTGTGGCGGTGGTGGTGATGATTGTGGCGGTGGTGGTTGCGGTGATGATTGTGGCAGTGGCGGTGATGATTGTGGCGGTGGTGGTGATGATTGTGGCGGTTGCGGTGATGATTGTGGTGGTGGTGGTGATGATTGTGGCGGTGGTGGTTGCGGTGATGATTGTGGCAGTGGCGGTGATGATTGTGGCGGTGGTGGTTTAGGTAATGATTGTGGCGGTTGCGGTGATGATTGTGGCGGTGGCGGTGATGACTGTGGCGGTGGCGGTGATGATTGTGGCGGTTGCGTTAATGATTATAGCGGTTGCGGTGATGATTGTTGCGGTGGCGGTGATGATTGTGGCGGTGATGATTGTGGCGGTGGTGGTGATGATTGTGGCGGTGGTGGTTGCGGTAATGATTGTGGCGGTTGTGGTGATGATTGTGGCGGTAGCGGTGATGATTGTGGCGGTTGCGGTGATGATTGTGGCGGTGGCGGTGATGATTGTGGCGGTGGTGGTGATGACGGTGGCGGTGATGATTGTGGCGACGGCGGTGATGATTGTGGCGACGGCGGTGATGACTGTGGCGACGGCCGTGATGATTGTGGCGACTGCGGTGATGATTGTGGCGGCGGCGGCGGTTGCGGTGATGATTGTGGCGATGAATGCAGCGGCGGCGGCGGCGGCGGTGATGATTGTGGTCGACGGCGGCGGTTGCGGTGATGATTGTGGCGATGAATGCGGCGGCGGCGGCGGCGGTGATGATTGTGGTCGACGGCGGCGGTTGCGGTGATGATTGTGGCGATGAATGCGGCGGCGGCGGCGGTGATGATTGTGGTCGACGGCGGCGGTTGCGGTGATGATTGTGGCGATGAATGCGGCGGCGGCGGCGGCGGTGATGATTGTGGCGTCCGGCTCAGGGACCCGCCAGCCCTGCAGGAGCTGACCTGGCTCTTTGTGGAGCGCGCCGCCACTGAGTGGCGCTCCCCTCCCGTGGTGCTGTGGCTGGAGTGGCGGGTGGCTCGCCTCGTCGCCGCCCTGGACAGCGACCCCCAGCTCGCACGGCAGGCGGCCAGCAGGCAAGAGACGCACGCACACACACACGCACGCGGTGACACACACACACACACACGCGCGGTGACACGCACACACACACGGTGACACACACACACACACACGCGCGGTGACACACACACACACACGGTGACACACACACACACACACGCGCGGTGACACGCACACACACACGGTGACACACACACACACACACGCGCGGTGACACACACACACGCGGTGACACACACACACGCGGTGACACACACACACACGCGCAGTGACACGCACACGCGCGCGGTGACACACACACACACACGCGGTGACACACACACGCGCGCGGTGACACGCACACACACACGCGGTGACACACACACGCGCGCGGTGACACACACACACACACGCGGTGACACACACACGCGCGCGGTGACACGCACACACACACACGCGGTGACACACACACGCGCGCGGTGACACGCACACACACACACGCGGTGACACACACGCGCGCGGTGACACAGACACACCGCGTCTCTCCCCACTTGTCTCACCGTGTCTCTCCCCACGTGTCTCACCGTGTCTCTCTCGACATGCGTCTCACCGTGTCTCTCCCCACGTGCGTCTCACCGTGTCTCCCCACGTGTCTCACCGTGTCTCTCCCCACGTGCGTCTCACCGTGTCTCTCCCCACGTGTCTCACCGTGTCTCTCCCCCCACGTCTCACCGTGTCTCTCCCCACGTGTCTCACCGTGTCTCTCCCCACGTGTCTCACCGTGTCTCTCTCGACATGCGTCTCACCGTGTCTCCCCACGTGTCTCACAGTGTCTCTCCCCACGTGCGTCTCACCGTGTCTCTCCCCACGTGTCTCACCGTGTCTCTCCCCCCTCGTCTCACCGTGTCTCTCCCCCCTCGTCTCACCGTGTCTCTCCCCACGTGTCTCACCGTGTCTCTCCCCACGTGTCTCACCGTGTCTCTCTCGACATGCGTCTCACCGTGTCTCTCCCCACGTGCGTCTCACCGTGTCTCTCCCCACGTGTCTCACCGTGTCTCTCCCCCCTCGTCTCACCGTGTCTCTCCCCACGTGTCTCACCGTGTCTCTCCCCACGTGTCTCACCGTGTCTCTCTCGACATGCGTCTCACCGTGTCTCCCCACGTGTCTCACCGTGTCTCTCCCCACGTGCGTCTCACCGTGTCTCTCCCCACGTGTCTCACCGTGTCTCTCCCCCCTCGTCTCACCGTGTCTCTCCCCCCTCGTCTCACCGTGTCTCTCCCCACGTGTCTCACCGTGTCTCTCCCCACGTGTCTCACCGTGTCTCTCTCGACATGCGTCTCACCGTGTCTCTCCCCACGTGCGTCTCACCGTGTCTCTCCCCACGTGCGTCTCACCGTGTCTCTCTCCACGTGTCTCACCGTGTCTCTCCCCACGCGTCTCACCGTGTCTCTCTCGACATGCGTCTCACCGTGTCTCTCCCCACGTGTCTCACCGTGTCTCTCCCCACGTGTCTCACGATGTCTCTCTCCACGTGTCTCACCGTGTCTCTCCCCACGTGCGTCTCACCGTGTCTCTCCCCACGTGTCTCACCGTGTCTCTCTCGACATGCGTCTCACCGTGTCTCTCCCCACGTGCGTCTCACCGTGTCTCTCCCCACGTGCGTCTCACCGTGTCTCTCCCCACGTGCGTCTCACCATGTCTCTCTCCACGTGTCTCACCATGTCTCTCCCCACGTGCGTCTCACCGTGTCTCTCCCCACGTGCGTCTCACCGTGTCTCTCCCCACGTGTCTCACCGTGTCTCTCCCCACGTGTCTCACCGTGTCTCTCCCCACGTGCGTCTCACCGTGTCTCTCCCCACGTGTCTCACCGTGTCTCTCCCCACGCGTCTCACCGTGTCTCTCCCCACGTGCGTCTCACTGTGTCTCTCCCCACGTGTCTCACCGTGTCTCAACGTGTCTCCCCACGTGAGTCTCACCGTGTCTCTCCCCACGTGTCTCACCATGTCTCTCTCCACATGTGTCTCACCGTGTCTCTCCCCACGTGTCTCACCGTGTCTCTCCCCACGCGTCTCACCGTGTCTCTCCCCACGTGTCTCACCGTGTCTCTCCCCACGTGCGTCTCACCGTGTCTGTCCCCACGTGTCTCACCGTGTCTCTCCCCACGTGTCTCACCGTGTCTCTCCCCACGTGCGTCTCCCCGCGTGTCTCCCTCCACGCGTCTCACCGTGTATCTCCCCACGTGTCTCCCCGCGTGTCTCCCCACGTGCGTCTCCCCCGCGTGTCTCCCCACGTGTCTCACCGTGTCTCTCCCCACGTGCGTCTCACCGTGTCTCTCCCCACGTGCGTCTCACCGTGTCTCTCCCCACGTGTCTCACCGTGTCTCTCCCCACGTGTCCCACCGCGTGTCTCCCCACGTGCGTCTCCCCCGCGTGTCTCCCCACGTGTCTCACCGTGTCTCTCCCCACGTGCGTCTCACCGTGTCTCTCCCCACGTGCGTCTCACCGTGTCTCTCCCCACGTGTCTCACCGTGTCTCTCCCCACGTGTCCCACCGCGTGTCTCCCAGGAGGAAGGTGTGCTACCGAGGCTCTCCACGTAACGTGCACCGCCACGTCGTGCTGTCCGAGGCCAAGGAGGCGACCGCTCACCTTCCCCCGGTGAGTGCGGCCGTGCCGCTCGCCGGCCACACGGCGCCTAGAGCACGGCCACGCCGGACAGCCGCGTGGCCGTGGAGCGCGATGGGTGGCGACGAGGTGACGCCAGATGAGTGGATGGGATGTGTGTTACTTGAGGTGGTGGTGACGGCGGTGGTGACGGTGGTGGTGATGGTGGTGGTGGTGGTGACGGTGGTGGTGGGTGGTGGTGGTGACGATGGTGGTGGGTGGTGGTGGTGACGATGGTGGTGGTGGTGACGATGATGGTGGGTGGTGGGTGGTGGTGGTGGTGGTGATGGTGGTGGTGACGGTGGTGGTGGGTGGTGGTGGTGGTGACAATGGTGGTGGGTGGTGGTGGTGACGATGGTGGTGGGTGGTGGTGGCGACGAGGGTGGTGGTAATGGTGATGGTGGTGATGACGGTGGTGGTGGGTGGTGGTGGTGACGGTGGTGGTGGTGGTGGTGACGGTGGTGACGGTGGTGGTGGTGGTGGTGACGATGTTGGTGGTGGCGACGATGGTGGTGGGTGGTGGTGATGATGGTGGTGGTGGTGGTGACGATAGTGGTGGTGGTGACAATGGTGATGGTGGTGGGTGGTGGTGATGGTGGTGGTGGGTATTGGTGGTGGTGACGATGGTGGTGGGTGGTGGTGGTGACGATGGTGGTGGGAGGTGTTGGTGGTGGTGACGATGCGTGGTGGTGACGGTGGTGGTGGTAATGGTGGTGGTGGTGACGGTGGTGGTGGGTGGTGGTTGTGTGTGGTGGTGGTGGGTGGTGGTTGTGTGTGGTGGTGGTGATGATGGTGGTCGTGGTGATGATGATGGTGGTGGTGGTGACGGTGGTTTTGGTGGCGACGATGGTGATGGGTGGTGGTGATGATGGTGGTGATGATGGTGGTGGTGGTGATGATAGTGGTGGTGGTGACGATGGTGGTGGGTGGTGGTGATGGTGATGGGTGGTGGTGACGGTGGTGGTGGTGGTGGTGATGGTGGTGACGGTGGTGATGGTGGTGATGGTGGTGGTGGTGGGTGGTGGTGGTGGTGGGTGGTGGTGGTGGTGGGTGGTGGTGGTGGTGGTGATGGTGGTGGTGGTGATGGTGGTGGCGGTGATGATGATGGTGGTGGTGGCGACGATGGTGGTGGGTGGTGGTGGTGACGATGCGTGGAACAAACGAAGATGGAAATGAGACGAGTGGTGTGTGTTTGTGTGTGTGTGCGCGTGCTTGCGTCTCTGTGTGTGTGTGTGTGCTGTTGTTGACGGTTGTTGTTGTTGACTGTTGCTGCTGCTGTTGTTGACTGTTGTGGTGCTTGTGTGCAGGAGGTGACCAACAGTCCCATTCTGGGTTACGATCCGCTCCCTCCACTCGACTCCATTGTCTCCTACACCCGGCCTGAGCGGTGAGTGGTGCCCGTGTGTCCCCGTGTGTGTCTGTCTGTCTGTGTGTGTCTGTCTGTGTGTGTCCGTGTGTGTGTCCATGTGTGTCCGTGTGTTTGTGTGTGTCCGTGTGTTTGTGTGTTTGTGTGTGTGTCCGTGTGTTTGTGTGTTTGTGTGTATGTCCATGTGTGTCCGTGTGTTTGTGTGTGTGTCTATGTGTGTCCGTGTGTGTTTGTGTGTGTGTCCATGTGAGTCCGTGTGTTTGTGTGTGTCCATGTGTGTCCGTGTGTTTGTGTGTGTCCATGTGTGTCCGTGTGTTTGTGTGTGTGTGTGTCCATGTGTGTCCGTGTGTTTGTGTGTGTGTCCGTGTGTTTGTATGTGTGTCCGTGTGTGTGTCCATGTGTGTCCCTGTGTTTGTGTGTCTCCGTGTGTTTGTGTGTGTGTCCATGTGTGTCCCTGTGTGTTTGTGTGTGTGTCTATGTGTGTCCCTGTGTTTGTGTGTGTGTGTCCATGTGTGTCCGGTGTGTGTGTCCATGTGTGTTTGTGTATGTGTCCATGTCCATGTGTGTCCGTGTGTCCGTGTGTGTGTCCATGTGTGTCCGTGTGTTTGTGTGTGTGTCCATGTGTGTCCATGTGTGTCCGTGTGTGTGTCCATGTGTGTCCGTGTGTCCGTGTGTGTGTCCATGTGTGTCCGTGTGTGTTTGTGTGTCCGTGTGTGTGTCCATGTGTGTCCCTGTGTTTGTGTGTGTCCGTGTGTTTGTGTGTTTGTGTGTGTGTCCATGTGTGTCCGTGTGTTTGTGTGTGTGTGTCCATGTGTGTCTGTGTGTTTGTGTGTGTGTCCATGTGTGTCCGTGTGTTTGTGTGTGTGTGTCCATGTGTGTCTGTGTGTTTGTGTGTGTGTGTCCGTGTGTGTCCGGTGTGTGCGTGTGTCCGGCAAGGCCATAGCCATGGAGTCAACATTGATGGGGTTCCAAATCTTCCAGGGGGTCTGGGGGTCGTCCCCCCAGAAAAACAAATCTAAATTGAAAAACGAATTTCCTGTCTGAAATATATAAAAAAATTCACTAACACAGAGAATGGACCTTTTTTTCACAGTACTGTCTAATAGTGTATTTTGTATTACATTCATCTAAACAGAAATCTACGCATTGATTTATATGAAGGACAAGTCCACATATTGTGGCCAAGGTTTAGCAAATTGTTGTTTTTTATTTACATAGCATAGCAATTATTATTTTAACAAAAATATTGTTATAGCAATATATTGGGGGGAGCGGGGGACATTTTGAGCATATTTGAATATTGGGGGGGGATGTGTCCCCCAGTGGCGATGTTCAGACACCACACCAGTTACTCGTTTGAGGCTGAGTCGACCTAGGGGAGGCCCAGGACCGGTTAAAATAATCGTCACCGGTGGTGGCCGTGAGCGGGAATCGAACTCGGGTCGCCAGGTTCGTAGCGCGGGGTAGCGCTAACCACTACGCTACCGCTCCCCCCCCACACACAGTGACACACACACACATAGACAGATACACACAGATACACACACCCACATACACACACCCAATTATATACACACACAGACATATACACACACAGACACACACACACCCAGATACACACACACAGATACACACACACACAGATACACACACAGATACACACACACAGACACACACACAGACACACACACAGAGATACACAAACCCACGTATACACACACACAGATACACACACAGATACACACACAGATACACACACAGATACACACACAGATACACACACAGATACACACACAGACACACACACAGACACACACACAGACACACAACAACAACAACAACAACAACCGCCATTCGCCACTAAGTGGCGGTGACGTCACCACGACGCTTGTGCCAGGCTATGTGCACCCTGAGGCCACGTGAAGTGTCGAACGCCCGCTGGCAGGAGGTCACGGGGCAGACCCAGGTGCCACGGGTCGACTGACTGAGATGACTGGCTGATGCACCACCTGTGCCCCCTACTGTGCCAACCTGCTGTGCTTTAGCCACCCGGCGCTCCGCTCGCTGTTGTGAGCGTCGCTCCTCCGCCCTCCGTTGTTGTTGGAGGGCGACTGCCTCCAACTGCCCAGTAGCATCCTTCACGAGCCTCCTCCACAGAGGCCGATCTTGACACCGCTGGTACCAGTCATCGGCAAGTCCACTCAGCTCCACGTCCTCCTGTACCACATCACTCCATCTCTTCTCTAGCCCGTGCCGCGCCCGCTTAGCCCCCTCAATCCGGCCAAACAAAAGCTGTTTCGGCATGCGGTGGCTGGGCATGCGGGCTACATGACCCAGCCATCGCAGCCTTGCCTGCCGGAGGAGCTCATCGATGGGACCCTGCCCAGATCTTTCAAGGATTTGTGAGCTCCTCACACAATCCAGTCTGGTTAAACCCAGGATGGATCGTAGGCAGGTCAGCCTAAATGTTTCTAACCGGCGAAGATGTTCCATTAGGGGGGTCCACGTTTCGCAAGCGTAGAGAAGGGAGGGAATGATCGTGGCCGAGAAGACCTGAAGCTTAGTGCGGAGCGACAGACCAGGTAGCTTCCACACAGCGTTACGCAACCGATGAAAAGATATTGCCGCTCGACTGATTCGGAGTGAGACCTCTGCTGTTAAACTGGAGCCAGTCATAAGCACACTGCCCAGGTATGGGAAACTCTCCACTCTCTCCACAACTGCCCCATCACCGATTGGGAGTTGTGGGGGTGGAGTGTCCGATGGTACAAAATACCCAGGCAGGTGCTTAGTTTTGGTGGGGCTGATGGTAAGGCCCCACCTCTTAGTGGCACGCTCCAGTCTCAGCAGCAGCGTCTCCAACTCCTCCTCTGACTGAGCAGCTATTACCAAGTCATCAGCATACATAACGTGGTTGAGCAATAGGGAGCCATCCCTTGACCGCACCCGGGCATCGATTAGCCTCCCATTATATCTGTACCATATGGAGATTCCCCCGGTACAGCTATTGAAGGCTTCACGAACTACGTGGTCAAAATAGATGTTAAATAATGTGGGAGCCAGAGGACATCCCTGTCGCACCCCAAGGTGTACAGGGAATGGCTCTGACTCCCGGCCACGTAGTTTTACCCAGGCCCGCTCACCATCATGAAGGTCCTTAATGATCGTGAGCAGAGGGTCAGCTACTCCAAAAGCACGAAGAACGACCCAGAGCCCAGGCCTACTGATGGTATCATAGGCCTTGACCAGGTCAATAAAGCAGAGATGTAGGTCTTGTTGGAATTCCCTACACCTCTGCTGTAGCAGACGGACAGAAAATATGGCATCTGTGCAGGACCGCCCTTTCCTGAAACCGCATTGGGGCTCCGCAAGCCTCTCCTCAGCGTGCCTGGCAAGGCGATGCTGAATAATCCTTGCCAGGACCTTTCCCGGCACACTGAGGAGTGAGATGCCCCTGTAGTTGTTACAGTCTGTGCGGTCCCCCTTCTTAAAAAGGGGGACCACCAGGGCATCCTTCCAATCCTGCGGAACCCGTCCAGTGGTCCAGACTGTTGTTATGATGTCATATAGGGCAGTCTGTGCACAAACGCCAGCCTCCCTCAGCATTTCGCTTGGGAGATCATCTCTGCCCGCTGCCTTTCCTGGTCTCAGACTCCGGATCGCCTTCTATACTTCCTCAGCAGATGGCACCTCAGCCAGCCACTCACAGGGGGTGACTTCATCCAATATTTGAGGCACCGCAGCCTCAGCAGGGTCATCCTCACTTTGTGCCACGATGTTTTCCTGGCTGAGGGATTTTCCCTCCCCCAGGACCTCACAGAAATGCTCAGCAAATCTGCGAACCTGTTCCTGGGGGTCGGAAATTGGATCACCGTTTTTTCCCCTAATGATGGTAATAGGTGTGGCGCTGCAGGTTACTTTTTTGATGGAGTTAAATAGAGATTTGTGATCACGGGCCACTGAGGCAGACTCCATCTCCTCAGCAACCCGCGACCACCACCCATCCTTGCAGCGCCTCACGGCTCTCCGAACCTCCGAGCGAAGGCTGGGGTAAGCCTCCTCATTCTCTGACGTGGGATTCTGTAGCCGATGACAGTGGGCCTGTCACTTTTTCTCAACCATCCTGAACAACTCCTCTGTCATCCAGGGTGTCTGGGGAGGTCTGGACCGCGTACCCAAAGCAGCCATTGCAGCTGCATGAGTCACAGTCCTAAACCTCGCCCATTTACCCTCGACATCAGGAGGAGTCGGGGACGATGCCAATCCCAGCCGCAAGCGATGATGAAATTCTCGCTTGCAACTTTCATCAGATAACTGAGACCAGGCCACTTTAGGTTGGAATGGGGTCCTGGGTGTACACCCACCACCGGAGTGGAAGAATGGCAGGCGCATCTTACAGATGACTAGTCGATGGTCAGAGGGCAGATCAGCTCCACGGTAGGTCCTGGTGTCAAGGACATGGGCTCGCATTCGCTGGTCCGTCACTATGTAGTCCAGCAGATGTTCTTGCTTGGACCCGGCATGCATCCATGATGTTGTGTGGATGCGCCGATGCCGGAACAGCGTGTTGGTAATTACAAGCCCATGGGCTGCACAAAAATCTAGCAGCCTCCTACCGTTGTTATTGAGCTGATCTGGCCCATGCCCTCCAATCACTCCAGACCAGGTGCCAGTATCATGACCAACTCGGGCATTGAAGTCACCCAACATGATGACTCTATCCCGAGGGGCCACTTTAGCCAGCACCTGTGACAGGAGGTCATAGAAGGCATCTGACTCATCGGCTTTGCCTGCATCCCTCCACGGATGTTCATCTTCGGTGGGGGCATAAGTAACCACGACCACCATTCCTCGCCTCCGGTTGATGGGAAGGCGAGCCCAAAGTAGCCTGGGGCTTACAGCTTCCCACACCTCACCGCCACGCTCCCACGCCCCCTTCATTCTTTTGTTCAAAAGAAGACCCACACCCTGTTGTTTGGCAGTCTGCTGCCCCGAGTAGAGGACTGTCCACCCCTCATGGTGGCAGGAGCCAGAGCCGGTCCACCGGACCTCCTGAATGCCACATAGATCCAGGCAGTACCGGTCCAGCTCCCGACAGAGGAGTGGCAGTCTCTCCTCTGCAGTGAGCGTTCGAACATTCCACGTGGCCACCCGTAGTGGCTTTTCGTTGTTTCTGGAGTAGCCCCGAGGGTAGGTATTCAATCTCCTGGCTCCGCCAATTGGGGTTTGGCCAGGAGACGTCATAGACGCCTGGCCCCCCGGGGCCTCCGGCACAAGCTTAGTTGTTACATATTTCAGTTTAATTCGTGGTTTTGTGGTAATTAATTGAAGGTGGAGGGGTTACCAGCCCCTCGCACCCGTCCAGAGCCCCCGTTTAGCCCCTGTGGTGGACACATATGCCATGAGGGGAGGAGCCAATCAAAATTGGAACTCCCCCCACAGCGCTGTCCACGACAGAGTTGCCCGTCCGGCACCGCGAGGAGGTAGGGGTACACACACACACAGACACACACACACAGACACACAGACACACACACACAGACACACACACACAGACACACACACACAGACACACAGACAGATACACACACCCACGTATACAAAGACAAAGATCCCCCATATAGCCTTAACAGACTGTAGGGGCAAGTGCTGTTAGCGAGCACCTATGAAGGCCGGAACGGTACACGAGGGGGTGGGTGGCCAGCACCACGCCCGACCGCCTTTGTCTCCCTAGTGGCAATGTTTACACACCGCACCAGGTACTCATTTGAGGCTGAGTCGACCTAGGGGAGGCCCAGGACCGGTTCAGATAATCGTCACTGGTGTTGGCCGTGAGCGGGAATCGAACCCGGGTCGCCAGGTTCATAGTGCAGCGCGCTAACCGCTACACTATCGCTCCCCATATACACACACACACACAGACACACACACAGACAGCGCGCTAACCACTACACTACAATGCGTTACGCTTCCACGTGCGAGGGTCACGTGACAGATTTGACGTCACAGCTCACTTGCCGTGCAAAAAATAGATGCATTATTGAGCTCCCCCCCACTCGAAAAAAACACACAAGTATATTTTAATTGTATTTTAATCATCTTTGCATGGTGCACACTCTGGAAAGTACCCACATGGCAAATTTCAAGTTTGTCGCATGTCGGGAAAGTACGCTAAACATTTTGAACAGGCAACACACAATCACAACCTTTGCCTTTTATATACATATGGAGATTACGGTCTTGGTGTTCCGGTGTGCGTGTATCCGTGTGTGTCCGGTTGGCACAGTGCGGGGGTACAGCTGGTGGTGGCATGGTGCCAGTCATCTGAGTCAGCCAAAACCCGTGTCACCTGCTGGGTCCGTCCCGTGACCTCCTGTCAGCGGAGAGAGCCTTTGACGACTTCACGCGATAGCCTCGAAGTGCACCTAGCCTGGCACAGCAGGGGGCACAGGCGGGGGGGGGGGGCATGGTGCCAGTCATCTGAGTCAGCCAAAACCCGTGGCACCTGCTGGGTCCGTCCCGTGACCTCCTGGCGACTTCACGCGATAGCCTCAGAGTGCACCCGGCCTGGCACGGGAGCCGTGGCGACGTCACCGTCACTTAGTGGCGAATGGCGGTGGTATCGGTGCGGTTGTTGTTGTTGTTGTTGTGCTGCTGTAGTACAACGGCGGTGGTGGCGGTTGTTGTCGTTGTTGTTGTGCTGCTGTAGTACAACGGCGGTGGTGGCGGTTGTTGTCGTTGTTGTTGTGCTGCTGTAGTACAACGGCGGTGGTGGCGGTTGTTGTTGTTGTTGTTGTGCTGCTGTAGTACAACGGCGGTGGTGGCGGTTGTTGTCGTTGTTGTTGTGCTGCTGTAGTACAACGGCGGTGGTGGCGGTTGTTGTCGTTGTTGTTGTGCTGCTGTAGTACAACGGCGGTGGTGACGGTTGTTGTTGTTGTTGTGCTGCTGTAGTACAACGGCGGTGGTGGCGGTTGTTGTTGTTGTGCTGCTGTAGTACAACGGCGGTGGTGGCGGTTGTTGTCGTTGTTGTTGTGCTGCTGTAGTACAACGGCGGTGGTGGCGGTTGTTGTCGTTGTTGTTGTGCTGCTGTAGTACAACGGCGGTGGTGGCGGTTGTTGTTGTTGTTGTGCTGCTGTAGTACAACGGCGGTGGTGGCGGTTGTTGTCGTTGTTGTTGTGCTGCTGTAGTACAATGGCGGTGGTGGCGGTTGTTGTTGTTGTGCTGCTGTAGTACAACAGCGGTGGTGGCGGTTGTTGTCGTTGTTGTTGTTGTGCTGCTGTAGTACAACGGCGGTGGTGGCGGTTGTTGTCGTTGTTGTTGTGCTGCTGTAGTACAACGGCGGTGGTGGCGGTTGTTGTCGTTGTTGTTGTGCTGCTGTAGTACAACGGCGGTGGTGGCGGTTGTTGTTGTTGTTGTTGTGCTGCTGTAGTACAACGGCGGTGGTGGCGGTTGTTGTTGTTGTGCTGCTGTAGTACAACGGCGGTGGTGGCGGTTGTTGTTGTTGTTGTTGTGCTGCTGTAGTACAACGGCGGTGGTGGCGGTTGTTGTTGTTGTTGTTGTGCTGCTGTAGTACAACGGCGGTGGTGGCGGTTGTTGTTGTTGTGCTGCTGTAGTACAACGGCGGTGTTGGCGGTTGTTGTTGTTGTTGTGCTGCTGTAGTACAACGGCGGTGGTGGCGGTTGTTGTCGTTGTTGTTGTGCTGCTGTAGTACAACGGCGGTGGTGGCGGTTGTTGTCGTTGTTGTTGTGCTGCTGTAGTACAACGGCGGTGGTGGCGGTTGTTGTTGTTGTTGTTGTTGTGTTGCTGTAGTACAACGGCGGTGGTGGCGGTTGTCGTTGTTGTTGTTGTTGTGAGCAGACCGCCAGCTCCAGCTGGAGGAGGCACCCTCTCTCTCTTCTTTCGCTCGCTTTTGCCCAGCTTCAACATGCGGCAGGTAACGTGTAGACACACATAGCTACACACACACTCACACAGCTACACACACGTAGATACACACACACAGCTACACACACTCATAGCTACACACACACAGCTACACACACATAGATACACACAGCCACACAACAACAACCGCCATTCGCCACTAAGTGGCGGTGACGTCACCACGACGCTTGTGCCAGGCTATGTGCACCCTGAGGCCACGTGAAGTGTCGAACACCCGCTGGCAGGAGGTCACGGGGCAGACCCAGGTGCCACGGGTCGACTGACTTAGATGACTGGCTGATGCACCACCTGTGCCTCCTACTGTGCCAACCTGCTGTGCTTTAGCCACCTGGCGCTCCGCTCGTTGTTCTGAGCGTCGCTCCTCCGCCCTCCGTTGTTGTTGGAGGGCGACTGCCTCCAACTGCCCAGTAGCGTCCTTCACGAGCCTCCTCCACAGAGGCCGATCTTGACACCGCTGGTACCAGTCATCGGCAAGTCCACTCAGCTCCACGTCCTCCTGTACCACATCACTCAATCTCTTCTCTAGCCCGTGCCGCGCCCGCTTAGCCCCCTCGATCCGGCCAAACAAAAGCTGTTTCGGCATGCGGTGGCTGGGCATGCGGGCTACATGACCCAGCCATCGCAGCCTTGCCTGCCGGAGGAGCTCACCGATGGGACCCTGCCCAGATCTTTCAAGGATTTGTGAGCTCCTCACACAATCCAGTCTGGTTAAACCCAGGATGGATCGTAGGCAGGCCAGCCTAAATGTTTCTAACCGGCGAAGATGTTCCATTAGGGGGGTCCACGTTTCGCAAGCGTAGAGAAGGGAGGGAATGACCGTGGCCGAGAAGACCTGAAGCTTAGTGCGGAGCGACAGACCAGGTAGCTTCCACACAGCGTTACGCAACCGATGAAAAGATATTGCCGCTCGACTGATTCGGAGTGAGGCCTCTGCTGTTAAACTGGAGCCAGTCATAAGCACACTGCCCAGGTATGGGAAACTCTACACTCTCTCCACAACAGCCCCATCACCGATTGGGAGTGTGGGGGTGGAGTGTCCGATGGTACAAAATACCCAGGCAGGTGCTTAGTTTTGGTGGGGCTGATGGTAAGGCCCCACCTCTTAGTGGCACGTTCCAGTCTCAGCAGCAGCGTCTCCAACTCCTCCTCTGACTGAGCAACTATTACCAGATCATCAGCATACATAACATGGTTGAGCAATAGGGAGCCATCCCTTGACCGCACCCGGGCATCGATTAGCCTCCCATTATATCTGTACCATATGGAGATTCCCCCGGTACAGCTATTGAAGGCTTCACGAACTACGTGGTCAAAATATATGTTAAATAATGTGGGAGCCAGAGGACATCCCTGTCGCACCCCAAGGTGTACAGGGAATGGCTCTGACTCCCGGCCACGTAGTTTTACCCGGGCCCGCTCACCATCATGAAGGTCCTTAATGATCGTGAGCAGAGGGTCAGGTACTCCAAAAGCACGAAGAACAACCCAGAGCCCAGGCCTACTGATGGTATCATATGCCTTGACCAGGCCAATAAAGCAGAGATGTAGGTCTTGTTGGAATTCCCTACACCTCTGCTGTAGCAGACGGACAGAAAATATGGCATCTGTGCAGGACCGCCCTTTCCTGAAACCGCATTGGGGCTCCGCAAGCCTCTCCTCAGCGTGCCTGGCAAGGCGATGCTGAATAATCCTTGCCAGGACCTTTCCCGGCACACTGAGGAGTGAGATGCCCCTGTAGTTGTTACAGTCTGTGCGGTCCCCCTTCTTAAAAAGGGGGACCACCAGGGCATCCTTCCAATCCTGCGGAACCCGTTCAGTGGTCCAGACTGTTGTTATGATGTCATATAGGGCAGTCTGTGCACAAACGCCACCCTCCCTCAGCATTTCGCTTGGGAGATCATCTCTGCCCGCTGCCTTTCCTGGTCTCAGACTCCGGATCGCCTTCAATACTTCCTCAGCAGATGGCACCTCAGCCAGCCACTCACAGGGGGTGACTTCTTCCAATATTTGAGGCACCGCAGCCTCAGCAGGGTCATCCTCATTTTGTGCCACGATGTTTTCCTGGCTGTGGGATTTTCCCTCCCCCAGAACCTCACAGAAATGCTCAGCAAATCTGCGAACCTGTTCCTGGGGGTCGGAGATTGGATCACCGTTTTTTCCCCTAATGATGGTAATAGGTGTGGCGCTGCAGGATACTTTTTTGATGGAGTTAAATAGAGATTTGTGATCACGGGCCACTGAGGCAGACTCCATCTCCTCAGCAACCCGGGACCACCAGCCATCCTTGCAGCGCCTCACGGCTCTCCGAACCTCCGAGCAAAGGCTGCGGTAAGCCTCCTCATTCTCTGACGTGGGATTCTGTAGCCGATGACAGTGGGCCTGTCGCTTTTTCTCAACCATCCCGAACACCTCCTCTGTCAGCCAGGTTCTCTGGGGAGGTCTGGACCGCATACCCAAAGCAGCCATTGTAGCTGCATGAGTCACAGTCCTAAACCTCGCCTATTTACCCTCGACATCAGGAGTCGGGGACGATGCCAATCCCAGCTGCAAGCGATGATGAAATTCTCGCTTGCAACTTTCATCAGATAACTGAGACCAGGCCACTTTATGTTGGAATGGGGTCCTGGGTGTACACCCACCACCGGAGTGGAAGAATGGCAGGCGCATCTTACAGATGACTAGTTGATGGTCAGAGGGCAGATCAGCTCCACGGTAGGTCCTGGTGTCAAGGACATGGGCTCGCATTCGCTGGTCCGTCACTATGTAGTCCAGCAGATGTTCTTGCTTGGACCCGGCATGCATCCATGATGTTGTGTGGATGCGCCGATGCCGGAACAGCGTGTTGGTAATTACAAGCCCATGGGCTGCACAAAAATCTAGCAGCCTCCTACCGTTGTTATTGAGCTGATCTGCCCCGTGCCCTCCAATCACTCCAGACCAGGTGCCAGTATCATGACCAACTCGGGCATTGAAGTCACCCAACATGATGACTCTATCCCGAGGGGCCACTTTAGCCAGCACCTGTGACAGGAGGTCATAGAAGGCGTCTGACTCATCGGCTTTGCCTGCATCCCTCCACGGATGTTCGTCTTCGGTGGGGGCATAAGTAACCACGACCACCATTCCTCGCCTCCGGTTGATGGGAAGGCGAGCCCAAAGTAGCCTGGGGCTTACAGCTTCCCACACCTCACCGCCACGCTCCCACGCCCCCTTCATTCTTTTGTTCAAAAGAAGACCCACACCCTGTTGTTTGGCAGTCTGCTGCCCCGAGTAGAGGACTGTCCACCCCTCATGGTGTGCGGAGCCAGAGCCGGTCCACCGGACCTCCTGAATGCCGCATAGATCCAGGCGGTACCGGTCCAGCTCCCGACAGAGGAGTGGCAGCCTCTCCTCTGCAATGAGCGTTCGAACATTCCACGTGGCCACCCGTAGTGGCTTTTCGTTGTTTCTGGAGTAGCCCCGAGGGTAGGTATTCAATCTCCTGGCTCCGCCAATTGGGGTTTGGCCAGGAGACGTCATAGACGCCTGGCCCCCCGGGGCCTCCGGCACAAGCTTATTAGTTACATATTTCAGTTTAATTCGTGGTTTCGTGGTAATTAATTGAAGGTGGGTGGGTTACCAGCCCCTCGCACCCGTCCAGAGCCCCCGTTTAGCCCCTGTGGTGGACACATATGCCATGAGGGGAGGAGCCAATCAAAATTGGATCTCCTCCCACAGCACTGTCCACGACAGAGTTGCCCGTCCGGCACCGCGAGGAGGTAGGGGGTTGTTTTGCCGGAGACAGATAGACACACACACAGATAGACACACACACAGCTACACACACACACAGCTACACACACACTCATAGCTACACACACTCACTCATAGCTACACACACAGCTACACACACACAGCTACACACACACACAGCTACACACACTCTCATAGCTACACACACATAGATACACACACTCATAGCTACACACACACAGCCACACACACACAGCTACACACACACACAGCTACACACACACACAGCTACACACACACACAGCTACACACACACAGCTACACACACACAGCTACACACACATAGATACACACAGCTACACACACAGCTACACACACATAGATGCACACACACATAGCTACACACACACACACAGCTACACACACTCACAGCTACACACACAGCTACACACATAGCTACACACACAGCTACACACACACACAGCTACACACACACAGCTACACACATACACAGCTACACACACTCATAGCTACACACACACAGCTACACACACACTCATAGCTACACACACACTCATAGCTACACACACTCATAGCTACACACACTCATAGCTACACACACTCATAGCTACACACACACAGCTACACACACACAGCTACACACAATCATAGCTACACACACAGCTACACACACAGCTACACACACACAGCTACACACACACATAGCTACACACACTCACAGCTACACACTCACAGCTACACACACTCATAGCTACACACACAGCTACACACACACACAGCTACACACACACACAGCTACACACACACTCACTCATAGCTACACACACACAGCTACACACACACACACATAGATACACACACACAGCTACACACACAGATACACACACAGCTACACACACAGCTACACACACACATAGATACACACAGCTACACACACATAGAGGCACACACACATAGCTACACACACACACAGCTACACACACTCACAGCTACACACACACACAGCTACACACACAGCTACACACATAGCTACACACACAGCTACACACACACAGCTACACACACACACAGCTACACACATACACAGCTACACACACTCATAGCTACACACACACAGCTACACACACACAGCTACACACACACTCATAGCTACACACACACTCATAGCTACACACACACTCATAGCTACACACACTCATAGATACACACACACACAGCTACACACACACACAGCTACACACACACAGCTACACACACACAGCTACACACAATCATAGCTACACACACAGCTACACACACATAGATACACACACAGCTACACACACACATAGCTACACACACTCACAGCTACACACACTCATAGCTACACACACACAGCTACACACACTCATAGCTACACACACAGCTACACACACACAGCTACACACACACTCACTCATAGCTACACACACACAGCTACACACACACACATAGATACACACACACACCCTCATAGCTACACACACACAGCTACACACACACAGCTACACACACACAGCTACACACACACAGCTACACACACACAGCTACACACACACTCACAGCTACACACACTCATAACTACACACACACAGCTACACACACATAGATACACACACACAGCTACACACACACAGCTACACACACTCATAACTACACACACACATAGATACACACACATAGCTACACACACACACACAGCTACGCACACATTCATAGCTACACACACTCATACCTACACACACACTCATAGCTACACACACACAGCTACACACACATAGATACACACACACAGCCACACACACACACACATAGCTACACACACACACAGCTACACACACACACTCATAGCTACACACACTCTCATAGCACACACACACAGCTACACACACACAGCTACACACACACAGCTACATACACACAGCTACACACACACAGCTACACACACACTCACTCATAACTATACACACACACATAGCTACACACACACTCATAGCTACACACACACTCATAGCTACACACACTCATAGCTACACACACTCATAGCTACACACACTCATAGCTACACACACATAGCTAAACACACACAGCTACACACACACTCATAGCTACACACACACTCATAGCTACACACACATAGCTACACACACACTCATAGCTACACACACACTCATGGCTACACACACACTCATGGCTACACACACTCATAGCTACACACTAACACATAGCTACACACACAGCTACACACACACACACAGCTACACACACACATAACTACACACACTCATAGCTACACACACACTCATAGCTACACACACACTCACAGCTACACACACACAGCTACACACACTCATAACTACACGCACACAGCTACACACACACTCATAGCTACACACATAGCTACACACACTCATAGCTACACACACACTCATAGCTACACACACACTCATAGCTACACACACACACAGCTACACACACACATAGCTACACACACACATAGCTACACACACACAGCTACACACACTCATAACTACACACACACAGCTACACACACACTCATAGTTACACACACAGCTACACACACATAGCTACACGCACACAGCTACATACACACAGCTACACACACACAGCTACACACACTCATAGCTACACACACTCATAGCTACACACACACTCATAGCTACACACACACTCATAGCTACACACACGCTCATAGCTACACACACACACACTCATAGCTACACATACACTCATAGCTACACACACACATAGCTACACATACACAGCTACACACTCATAGCTACATACACACAGCTACACCCACATAACTACGCACACACATAGCTACACACTCATAGCTACACACACACACATAGCTACACACACACATAGCTACACACACATAGCTACACACTCATAGCTACACTCATAGCTACACACATAGCTACACACACACTCATAGCTACACACACACTCATAGCTACACACACATAGCTACGCACTCATAGCTACGCACTCATAGCTACGCACTCATAGCTACGCACACCTAGCTATGCACACATAGCTTCGCACACATAGCTACACTCATAGCTACACACACACATAGCTACACACACATTGCTACACACTCATAGCTACGCACAATCATAGCTACGCGCACTCATAACTACACTCATTGCAACACACTCATAGCTACACACTCATAGCCACTCACTCATAACTACGCACACATAGCTCCGCACTCATAGCCACTCACTCATAGCCACTCACTCATAGCTACTCACTCATAGCTACACTCATACATAGCTACACACTCATAGCTACACACACATAGCTACACACTCATAGCTACACACTCATAGCTACACACTCATAGCTACACACACACAGCTACACACTCATAGCTACATACACACAGCTACACACACATAGCTACGCACACACATAGCTACACACTCATAGCTACACACACATAGCTACACACTCATAGCTACACTCATAGCTACACACATAGCTACACACACACTCATAGCTACACACACACTCATAGCTACACACACATAGCTACACACTCATAGCTACGCACTCATAGCTACGCACTCATAGCTACGCACACCTAGCTACGCACACATAGCTACGCACACATAGCTGCGACACATAGCTACACTCATAGCTACACACACACACATAGCTACACACACATTGCTACACACTCATAGCTACGCACAATCATAGCTACGCGCACTCATAACTACACTCATAGCTACACACACACACAGCTACACACACATAGCTACGCACACATAGCTACGCACACATAGCTACGCATTAATAGCTACGCACACATAGCTACGCACTCATAGCCACTCACTCATAGCCACTCACTCATAGCTACTCACTCCTAGCTACAATCTCATAGCTACACACACATAGCTACACACTCATAGCTACACACTCATAGCTACACACTCATAGCTACACACTCACACTCATAGCTACACACACACATAGCTACACACTCATAGCCACTCACTAATAGCTACACACTCATAGCCACTTACTTATAGCTACACACTCATAGCTACACACACACATAGCTACACACACATAGGTACACACAGAGCTACACACTCATAGATACACACTCATGGCTACACACTCATAGCTACACACTCATAGCTACACACTCATAGCCACACACTCATAGCCACACACTCATAGCCGCACACTCATAGATGCACACATAGCTACACTCTCATAGTCACACACTCATAGCCGCATACTCATAGCTACACACACATAGCTACACACACATAGCTACACACAGAGCTACACACTCATAGCTACACACTCATAGCTAAACACACAGCCACACACTCATAGCTACACACTCATAGCTACACACTCATAGCTACATTCATAGCTACACACTCATAGCTACACACACACATAGCTACTCACTCATAGCTACACACTCATAGCTACCCACACTCATAGCCACACACACATAGCTACACACACTCATAGCTACACACTCAACTACACACTCATAGCTACACACACATAGCTACACACACATAGCTACACACTCATAGCTACACATTCATAGCTACACACACATAGCTACACACATAGCTTCACACTCATAGCTACCCACACTCATAGCCACACACACTCAGCCACCCACATCGACACGTGTCGATGTAATTGGTCGTCGTTGTGGTCGTCGTTGTGGTCGTTGCTGCTGTTGCGGTGGCGGTCGCAAGGATCCCGTCGCACAGGGTGCGTTAGGCGCGGACGACGATGGAGCCGACGCCGGAGCCGAGGGGGCGGAGGGAGGAGGGGACGGGGGCCGTGAGGTCGGCAGGGGAATCACTCAGCTGCTCGCCGCCATGAGGGAGCTGCTCGCCAACATTCGATTCGACGACGACGGAGGGCGGGCGGGGGGCGGCGTTGGGGGGGCCGGCGACCCGGACGACCCGGACGACCCGGGGCACCAGGAGGAGGAGTGGGACTGAGGACGCTCGGCACGGCACGCTCGGCTCGGCACGCTCGGCTCGCCACGCTCGCCACGCTCGCCACGCTCGGCACGCAGACGTACGCTCGCCGTGGACGGATCAGGCGATTGTCGTTTCCACCTCCCCTCCAGAAGGTTGTCCTCTCGATTCCAGGAGATCCACGACCACTGGACAGTGTTCGCCATCTCCAGTAAATCTCACATCAGTTGTTATTTTCTTCTTCTTCTTCTCCTTCTCCTTCTTTCCTATCTTCCAACCCCCCCCCCCCCCCGTCTCTAGTCGAACTTCTCGATCTTAAGCGGGACCACCTGTCGATCCGGCAGACCTCTTCCAGCAGACTTTAACTTACAGAAGATGCCCTTGATCCCCAGAAGATGTCCTCCATCTCTCGACGGATCATCAACTCCTGAAGATGTCCTCCATCTCTAGATGTATCACCACCTCCAGAAGACGTCCTCCATCTCTAGATTGATCACCACCTCCAGAAGATGTCCTCCATCTCTAGATTGATCACCACCTCCAGAAGATGCCCTCCATCTCTAGATTGATCACCACCTCCAGAAGATGCCCTCCATCTCTAGATGGATCACCATCTTCAGAAGATGTCCTCCATCTCTAGATGGATCACCATCTCCAGAAGACGTCCTCCATCTCTAGATGGATCACCATCTTCAGAAGATGTCCTCCATCTCTAGACGGATCACCACCTCCAGAAGATGCCCTCCATCTCTAGATGGATCACCATCTCCAGAAGATGCCATCCATCTTTAGATGGATCACTATCTCTAGAAGATGCCATCCATCTCTAGATGGATCACCATCTCCAGAAGACGTCCTCCATCTCTAGATGGATCACCATTTCCAGAAGATGCCCTCCATCTCTAGATTGATCACCATCTTCAGAAGATGCCCTCCATCTCTAGATGGATCACCATCTCCAGAAGACGTCCTCCATCTCTAGATGGATCACCATTTCCAGAAGATGCCCTCCATCTCTAGATGGATCACCATTTCCAGAAGATGCCCTCCATCTCTAGATGGATCACCATTTCCAGAAGATGCCCTCCATCTCTAGACGGATCACCATCTCCAGAAGATGTCCTCCATCTCTAGATGGATCACCACCTCCAGAAGATGTCCTCCATCTCTAGACGGATCACCATCTTCAGAAGATGTCCTCCATCTCTAGATGGATCACCATCTCCAGAAGATGTCCTCCATCTCTAGACGGATCACCATCTTCAGAAGATGTCCTCCATCTCTAGATGGATCACCATCTTCAGAAGATGTCCTCCATCTCTAGATAGATCACCACCTCAAGAAGATGTCCTCCATCTCTAGACGGATCACCATTTCCAGAAGATGTCCTCCATCTCTAGATAGATCACCACCTCCAGAAGATGTCCTCCATCTCTAGACGGATCACCACCTCCAGAAGATGCCCTCCATCTCTAGATGGATCACCATCTTCAGAAGATGTCCTCCATCTCTAGATTGATCACCACCTCCAGAAGATGCCCTCCATCTCTAGATGGATCACCATCTCTAGAAGATGTCCTCCATCTCTAGACAAATCACCACCTCCAGAAGATGTCCTCCATCTCTAGACGGATCACCACCTCCAGAAGATGTCCTCCATCTCTAGACGGATCACCATTTCCAGAAGATGTCCTCCATCTCTAGATAGATCACCACCTCCAGAAGATGTCCTCCATCTCTAGACGGATCACCATCTCCAGAAGATGTCCTCCATCTCTAGACGGATCACCACCTCCAGAAGATGCCCTCCATCTCTAGAAGATAACCTTCAAGAAGATGCCATCCATCTCTGGACGGATCAGCATCTCCAGAAGATGCCTTCCATCTCCAGAATTCTGCCACAGTGGTGGAACGGTTCAAAGCAGTGCTCGATTTTATCTCCCGCCAGTGGCAGCTGAAACGACGGGGTCAATAAATTTTCCCAAATCTGCCCACCACTTCTGCCCCCCCCCCCCCCCCGCCTCTCCCCCCAAGAGCTGTTGGTTGCGCACAATCGAATCTCGTACGCATCTCCGCAACCAGTTGCCGTGAGCAGGTTGCGGAATCACGACGCAACTGGTCGCTGCTCCCGCGCAACCAAAAAAAAAATATCGCAAACCACACACGACCACAGTTCTCCGCAGCAGCTGCAGTCGATCAACTCCCTTTCTCCCTCCCCACCGTGTGATGTGACGGCCTTCATAGGTGCTACCCGCTAACAGTCTGTTAAAGGCTATACGGGGGGGGGGTGGATCTTTGTCTTTGTTTTGTGTGTGCGCACGTGGGAAGCGGGTTCGCGGTGGTTAAGCTCGCTGCGCGAGGAAACCAGCGGAGCCGAGTTCGATTCCCCCGCTCGTGGCCAAAACACCAGGTCCGGTCATTGGTCCCGGGCCTCCCCTGGGTCGACTCGGCCTCAAATTTGTACCCTGGTGCGGTGTGTAAACGTCGCCAACTCGGGAGACGAAGGCGGCCGGCCGTGGTGCTGGCAAGCCCACCCCCTCGTGCGCCCCACAGTGCCGGCCTTTCCTAGGCCCCGCTAACTCGCTACCTACGGCACTTGCCCCAACACCCTGCCGAGGCTACACGTGGGTGGGGGGGGCGGATCTTTGGAGCTTCTCAGACACGAGGTGGGTGAGGAGGGGGGGGAGGGCGGGGCTCTGCTGCTGCTGCAAAAAGTGGGCGTGGCTGCGCTCAGTTTAGCCACGCCCAGTCACATGGCCACGCCCGCTGCTAGCGCAACCGCTCGCTCGGATGTGGGCAAAGCGGCTGCCGCCGGTCGTCCGACCGCGTCCTGTGTCCGGTTTGAAGGAAATAAAAGGCGGACGTTGTTCACCAGTGGGCATGTCGTGGTTGCTGTTGCTGCTGATGGTGGCGCATGGGTTGTAATCTGTGGCTGCGCGGCTGCTGGTTATCGTGGGCGAGGTCGGTGCAGCAGCTGTCCCGGGTCGGCCAAAGAGACGGGGAACAACACCAATAGCAATGGGGGGGGGGGGGGTGAGAAGGGGGGCGACTCCACAACAGCTGAGCCACGATGGCGGATGACACAACAACAACAACAACCGCCATTCGCCACTAAGTGGTGGTGACATCACCACGACGCTTGTGCCAGGCTAGGTGCACCTTGAGGCCGCGTGAAGTGTCGAACGCCCGCTGGCAGGAGGTTACAGGGCAGACCCAGGTTCCACCACGGGTCGACTGATTGAGATGACTGGCCGATGCACCACCTGTGCCCCCTACTGTGCCAACCTGCTGTGCTTTAGCCACCCGGCGCTCCGCTCGTTGTTGTGAGCGTCGCTCCTCCGCCCTCCGTTGTTGTTGGAGGGGCGACTGCCTCCAACTGCCCAGTAGCATCCTTCACGAACCTCCTCCACAGAGGCCGATCTTGACACCGCTGGTACCAGTCATCGGCAAGTCCACTCAGCTCCACGTCCTCCTGTACCACATCACTCCATCTCTTCTCTAGCCCGTGCCGTGCCCGTTTAGCCCCCTCGATCCGGCCGAACAAAAGCTGTTTCGGCATGCGGTGGCTGGGCATGCGGGCAACATGACCCAGCCATCGCAGCCTTGCCCGCCGGAGGAGCTCACCGATGGGACCGTGCCCAGATCTTTCAAGGATTTGTGAGTTCCTCACACAATCCAGTCTGGTTAAACCCAGGATGGATCGTAGGCAGGCCAGCCTAAATGTTTCTAACCGGCGAAGATGTTCCATTGAGGGGGTCCACGTTTCGCAAACAAAACAAACTGAGGGCATGACCATGGCCGAGAAGACCCGAAGCTTCATGTGTAGCGACAGACCTGGCATTTATACACACAAATAAACAATCTATAGGGAGCGCAAAATAGAGACAATGGTAGACACGCCACTAAAAATAATTTCGGGGACCCTTTTCTGCAAGTATCAAAGTATGAAAATTATGATTAGGTTTTACTCATCTCTGGCCATACGACAGTTGTGTTAAGATGTTCAAACACCAAATAGATTCATACTCTTTGGCTCTTTCGGTGAAGTCACGTAGATAGAACATTAATAGATCACGACGTTTCGATCGCAACACAAGCCACCGTCTTCAGGTGAGAGAGAGAGACCGTCTTCAGGTGAGAGAGAGAAATCTTTCCCTCTCCCTGAAAAAGCTTTCTCTCACCTGAAGACGGTCGCTTGTGTTGCGATCGAAACATCGTGATCTATGAATCTCCTACCCACGTGACTTTACCCAAAGAACCAAAGAGTATGAATTCCTGCAGTCACGAAAGCTTCAAATCGAGACCAAATAGATTCCTCTTGCAAAGCATCAAGTCTTGCATTGGCCACACACGGTACTTGTAGTAGTGAACATGCTAACAAACAGGGCTCTAACAAGAATGTTACTTGCATTGTCGTTGTATAATAATGTTACATTGTCTTTGAAACAGATTGGCCTACACCAGAGACAGCCTTCTCTATGGCCTAGTCTCACCACCAGTGCGATTTGCTGGTTTATCCCAGGATGTTTCCGTTGCGCGTCGTCGCTTTAAGATGTTTCTCTGTTCATATTTCGTTTGTTGCGGTTGCACCCGACTCAAAGAGCCGCGTGGCTCACAGGGCTATACCTAATACATGAAACTTGAGACCAGAGAATGAGGCCAAAAGGCGTAGATAGCACAAGGACAATGCCACTATCAAGGACATTGAGAGCTCGGGGTGAGCAGTCACACCATGGCACCTCCGTTGCCTATCGAAATATAAGGAATAGGTGTTACCCTTTCAGGCCATAATAACACAGTTGTGTTGTGATATTCAAACACCGAACAGAAACCTTTAGCAAGGAATCCTGTCACTGCATTAACCCACACACGATGCTTGTGGTGAACGTGCAAACACAAAAAGCACGCTCTGGTAGTTTATGATGCATTGTCTATGAAACTGATTGGTCCACACCAGAGAGACGGCTTTCTTTAGAGCCTAGTCTCACTAACAGCGTTAGACCAGAGGACGACACACAGGCGTTAAAACAGGTGTTTCGATGTTTGCACGTTCACGATAAATACTGTGTGGTTAATGCAGTACATGATTCCTTGAAATCGGCAGTGCCGGATTATCTTAGGAGCAAAGGTAGCTGCATATGCTATGGGCCCCGCACTTTCAAGGGCCCCACGCTAAATGCTTTCAAGCTATCAGCTTCGGTTCAGTGATTTTGCACTTGCTCTATTACTGTAGTACTATACTGCCTTCGACTTTTATGAACGACTTGGTATCAAGGTTAGCGATTTGTCGTATTATCTGGCTGTATAGCAAATGAAAAAATACAATTACTTTACTATGCAAGTAAAAAAAATGTGTTTGAATATTTAAGTGTTTTTTTATTTTATTTAGGACCCCTGTATAACGTATGATACAGGCCCCACAGTAGTTTGCAACTTCCCTGTTCACTTTGGGGTATGACAGGGATGTCCTCTGGCTCCCACATTATTTAAGCCTTCAATAGCTCTACCGGAGGAATTTTCATGTGGTACAGATACAATGGGAGGCTGATCGATGCCCGGGTGCGGTCAAGGGATGGCTCCCTATTGCTCAACCACGTTATGTATGACGATGATCTGGTAATTGCTGCTCACTCAGAGGAGGAGTTGGAGGCGCTGGTGCTGAAACTGGAGCTTACCACTAAGAGGTGGGGCCTTACCATCAGCCCCACCAAAACTAAGCACCTGCCTAGGTATTTTGTACCATCGGGCACTCCACCCCCACAACTCCCAATTGGTGATGGAGCAGTTGTGGAGAGAGTGGATAGTTTCCCATACCTGGGCAGTGTGCTCATGACCGGCTCCGGTTTGACAGCAGAGGTCTCACTCCGAATCAGTCGAGCGGCATTATCTTTTCATCAGTTGCGTAACGCTGTGTGGAAGCTACCTGGTCTGTCGCTCCGCACGAAGCTTCAGGTCTTCTCGGCCACTGTCATTCCCTCCCTTCTCTGCGGTTGTGAAACGTGGACCCCCCTAATGGAGCATCTTCGCCGGTTAGAAACATTTAGGCTGGCCTGCCTACGATCCATTTTGGGTTTAACCAGGCTGGATTGTGTGAAGAGCTCACATATCCTTGAAAGATCTGGGCAAGGTCCCATCGGTGAGCTCCGGCAGGCAAGGCTGCGTTGGCTGGGTCAAGTAGCCCACATGCCCAGCCACCGCATGCCTAAACAGCTTTTGTTCGGACGGATCGAGGGGGCTAAACGGGCACGTTACAGGCTAGAGAAGAGATGGGGTGATGTGGTACAGGAGGGTGTGGAGCTGAATGGACTTGCCGATGACTGGTACCAGCGGTGTCAAGATCGGCCTCTGTGGAGGAGGCTCGTGAAGGACGCTACTGGGCAGTTGGAGGCAGTCGCCCTCCAACAACAACGCAGGGCGGAGGAGCGACGCTCACAACAACGAGCGGAGCGCGGGGTGACTAAGGCACAGCAGGTTGGCACAGTAGGGGGCACAGGTGGTGCATCAGCCAGTCATCTCAGTCATCTCAATCGACCCGTGGCACCTGCTGGGTCTGCCCCGAGACCTCCTGCCAGTGGGCGTTCGACACTTCACGCGGCCTCAAGGTGCACATGGCCTGGCACAAGCGTCGTGGTGAGGTCACCGCCAATTAGTGGCGAATTGCGGTTGTTGTTGTTGAGCATGGATCGAGTTGTGACACGTTGAACACCTGTATGTGTTCCAACATGGATCAAGCTATGCTATTTTGAATAAGGGGCCGTCCATAAATGACGTCACGTGATTTTGGACGATTTTTGTCCCCCCCCCGCCTCCAAAAACCATATTTCTATTTTGAAAATAAAACATGCTTCAAATCGCTTTAAACTATTGTCATTTGTAGCGCGTATTTAATGCGGCGCTGCACACTCTGATGTCGCAGGAGAAAACATTTAAGAAGTCTATTTAATTAAGTAGAACGTGTCGTCTATACTTATTTATAAAGTTGCGCAGTTTGATGTGACGTCACGTTTCTCAACCCCCCCCCCCCTTCGTCACACATCGTCACAAATGTCTGACCCCCCCCCCAAGGTGCGTGACGTCATTTATGGACGGCCCCTAATGTTGTGTACGAGTTCGAGTGTAGATCGAGCATGGATCAAGTTGTGATGTTTTGAATACTGATGCATGTGTTTGACCTTGGATCGAGCATGGATCAAGCTGTGATGTTTTGAATACTGATGCATGTGTTTGAGCTTGGATCGAGCATGGATCAAGCTGTGATGTTTTGAATACTGGTGTGCATGTGTTCGAGCTCGGATCGAGCATCGATCAAGCTGTGATGTTTTGAATACTGGTGTGCTTGTGTTCGAGCGTGGATCGAGCATGGATCAAGCTGTGATATTTTAAATACTGGTGTGCATGTGTTCGAGCGAGGATCACGCATGGATCAAGCTGTGATGTTTTGAATACTGGTGTGCATGTGTTTGAGCGAGGATCACGCATGGATCAAGCTGTGATATTTTGAATACTGGTGTGCATGTGTTCGAACGTAGATCGAGCATGGATCAAGCTGTGATGTTTTGAATACTGGTGTGCATGTGTTCGAGCGTGGATCGAGCATGGATCAAGCTGTGATATTTTGAATACTGGTGTGCATGTGTTGGAGTGTGGATCTAGCATGGATCAAGCTGTGATATTTTGAATACTGGTGTGCATGTGTTGGAGTGTGGATCTAGCATGGATCAAGCTGTGATATTTTGAATACTGGTGTGCATGTGTTCGAGTGTGGATCTAGCATCGATCGAGCTGTGATATTTTGAATACTGGTGTGCATGTGTTCGAGTGTGGATCTAGCATGGATCAAGCCGTGATATTTTAATATCTACGCCGATGTGTTC